ATAGCTTGAAAAGACTGCAAGTAATTTCAAAGGCTGGGTGTATCCAACTTCGAACAACGTCGAAAAGGGAATGAGGACGTTTGTTAGGGAGACGGTTCGCACGTGGCGCCTTGGGTCGGACTGTTCCATTATTTTCGAGGGGGTGTTCCGTTTTGGGAACAATGGCAATTAGTCGGTTATCCAGGTAAGTATTCACGAAATAGACTCTTGATTGTAAATTTAAAACTCAATTTAGCTCTTTTGCTGCGATGTTTCAATTGTACTTGTGTTGAACTTTTAAAATAAATACCATACAATACATAGAGAATCAATCTGCATGCAGTTTATTTCAATAATATAATTTGCCAATTTATTGAAGTCACTTTTGGATAAGACTTCAATAAATAATTAGTCAGCTCGACTTGATCAATAATTCTATCTCTAAGAACCGAAAGGTCCACTGATTAATCTCTGATAAGACAGTATAATACATAGTGGAGTTGAATAGCTTGCCTAGATGCTTGCCTTCCAATCCCAGGGTCCTGGGTTCAATTCCTGCCAGTTGCAGGATTTTTTCTCACGACCAAAACAACTGCACTCCCTAAATCTCATATTGAGATTTAGTTTGTGTAAAGCATCATGTGTATATGTTTGTCTTGTGTAAGGGATCGTCACCTACAAGTAGGTGACGATGACGAATATAGTGATGACGATGACGATGACGAATATAGTGATATATTCGCTATTGACAATCCTTGGCACATGTATTGTGTGCCTATATAAATAAAAATAAATAAATAAATAAAAAAATAAAATACTCCAAGTATCGAAATGCACATCATCGTGTCGGTGATATATTCGCTATTGACAATCCTTGGCACATGTATTGTGTGCCTATATAAATAAAAATAAATAAATAAATAAAAAAATAAAATACTCCAAGTATCGAAATGCACATCATCGTGTCGGGATTCAATATTTCGACATTAATTATGTCAATATTTCAACATTAATTATGTCAATATTTCGAAATAAATTATGTCATCATCAGGAATGTCATCATCAGGATGATGACATAATTAATCTCAAAATATTGAATCCTGATACGATGGCGTGCATTTCGATACTTGGAGTATGTATTATACTATCAGTATCTCTAAGCATACAAGGAATAAAGCATGGAAATGCAGAGATTGCCCCACAAATGACTTCGATTTAAGAGGCTATAATCTTATATCCAGCCAAGGAAGCAGATGTACAATATACAAATGATAGAACCTTTCATTATTCAAAGTCAGAATACACATGACGATATTACATCAATTAGGATATTGCCATGGCAACAACCTCGTTGTATTTCCCTCTTTAAAGTAAATCTTTTTTAAAAGCTCAAGTAATCAATTTTTTAATCTGAAATTCTACCATTGCCAATATAAATCAGACATAAGCAAATTGATTTTTTTTTCTCTAAAAATAAGTTCATGCTCATCTAAATAGTTCACCATCCTCTAAGGAAAATTGCATAAAATATAATTTGAAGATAGTCCTCTTCCTGTAATTTGCCATAAAGAGTATTCAGTTGCACAGAACACATCGTTCAATAAAATTACACACCTACATATATAATGGACTTGCCTATCTGATATTATTCATTTCTGCATAGATATATTGATGGTGCATTGTTCATGATGTGAATCTCCCAGCTTTCATGACAAGTGTGCGGTGGAGTCATTATTTGTAATGCAGTGGTAATCATTGAAAAAAATCAATTTAAATTGTATTTGGTGGAGGCAGGGTTTGGATTGTCTTACACTTCAATCGGAATATCCATCATTTAAATACAAATTCTATTTTTCATTTATTCATATCTATATTATATTCATTTATATATTTTTCATATTTTCAAATTTATATAAATCCTGGAAATCTAAGAATACTAGTAATGTATCAACATAATGGCATAATGCATATACTGTAATACTAGTGCAACATTTGAAATTTACCTGCAAAGCTGTAATTTGAAATGTAACTTGAAACATGACATTAGTAATTTTGGGAACAATGTACTATAAAAGGCAGGACTTTTTTATACCTTGTTTAGCGAACCCGCCGCCCACAAATAATGATGATTTCCAATAAAAACAAAATTTTATTTCTGGTCAATTAGCGTACCCACTGCCACCAAAAGATGGAAATTTCAGAAAAAAATAGAAGTTTTTCTTTATTTTTATTACGCCTCTCTGCCTTGAAATCTCCAAAGATAAGATATGTATATTTCTTCTTAATTATATAAATTTAAAGCATTTAACCATCCCATTACTACTCTTGTTACATTTACCAATACATTTTATTTTTATTTTCTCCCCCATCTAAGAATATGAAAAAGCTACATAAGAAAACAAAACTTTATTTTTTTTTTTCGCTCTCCTCTGATGATCTTTAAAAAAAATAGGTTTGCAAAACAAGGAATAAAAAAGTCTTGCCTAAAATGTTTATTAAATGGATTCCAAAACAAACCACATGTCTAATTAAATGACATAAAGTATGGAATCTCTTGTAAAAGAACAAAATTATTGCACAAAATATAGAGAGCCACAAAAACAAAAAATATCAAATATGATGGCATATTATATTTTTATCAATATCAGGAAAATCAATATGACGAAAGAAATTTCACACGAAATTGAAATTGGGATAATTAGTTTAGTAGGAATGGAATGATGAGAATAATTATAAGACAAAACAAGAGATTAGACTAACTACAATATTTATAATGCATAATCACTCAAAACATTTCATATGTTGGAACACAAAATATTATTTTTGTATAGACGAGTGTAGGTGCAATATTAAATAAAGTACATCCACTTTGTCATCATGTGCCATTGAACATTTCTTCATTTGATGAATCTTAAAATTACATAGCTTATGATTGATTGATTGATCGATTGATTGATTGACTGATTGATTGAAAGGAAAACTATAAAGACTAGGATAAGAAACACTTTCAACTTACCAAATCCTGCCATCTCTGCTATAACAGCCTCTGCCCCTGGTTGATGCATCTTGTTAACTGTGACCTCATCTGCTAGGCCTTGAAGGGTTGTAATCATTGGTTGATGCTCTTCAATGTCATTGTTGGTGTCCTAAATGTGACAGAAAGACAGAAAATGGTAATTAAAATGGTGATTCTATATGCTATAATGATATTGAAATTTAAAAAAAACAATCATTTTTTTTAAATCTTGAAAGGTAAAATGCAAACTAAACTACAGACGAACTACAAAGTCCCAAAGTCGAATAAAAAATGGCACTGAAAAATTGTTTGACTTGCATACTTTTTACTTGCAGATCTTTAATTAATGGAAAACACAACAATTAGACATGTGAAATAAGATCGACTTAGAAATTATTCGACTTAGGACGGGCAAGTTTAACTGTATGTCAAATGGTCAATAGTAATGGTTGGGGACTTGTAAAGCCCATACTACATGATCTCTTTGCGCTATGTTACAAAAAGAACAACCAAAAAACTAAATCAATCCTGAAGTTTACCAAGCAACCTAAAAAAACCACCAGAAACAGGCTATTGCAGAGGAGTCCATATCCCCACACCGTTTTCTTGCAATTTGATACCACACCGTTTTCCTGCAATTTGATACCAACTGGCAAGCAGCAATTTATTCCCTGTTTGTTATCTATGCTGTATATTGATTGGGTTGAAATTACCTTTTGATGTTGTAACATAGCCTGTGCTTGCTGAACCTTCACCTCAGGAATAACTTTGTCTTCCATATCTTCCTCAATGTTTCTGATCCACTCTACTAAACTTGACATCTCGTGTCAAAAAAAAAAAAAAAAAAAAAAAATTCTTGTTTATTGTCACTGTATGTTGATTCTGTATTTCTGCCAATAATTCTAACAATTGAAAAAATTTAATGTAGTTTTGATTAACATCATTACCTTCACTGTAGGAAGCGTGTGGGGCAGTGTGTAAGGTTTTGGACTTCTGATTGTGAGATCGGGAATTCGAGACCGACTCTCGTCGCAATGCTTGTGTCCTTGAGACAGGCACTTTACTTGTGTTTGCCTCTCTTGGCCCAGGACTATAAATGGGAGGGTCATGCTGTTAACCTGCTCGTTGGCTGTCTCTTATACACATCTCTGGCGAATCGATCTGCGCATGTGTATAAAATGGTATTTATTTCCACAAACACTATACCAGTCTACAACAAGCGTCGCCTAAATGTAATAATTAGCACGTTGAAATAGGCTAGTAAATAAGTTTAACTGGGTTCGTAAATAATATTGTCCTCAAAATATTGTGGCTGAGACATGAGCCGATTAAACGTAGAAATAGGAAACCTAGGAATATAGTAAAAATGCTGAATAGTACTCCAGCGTCGCGACATGCCAACGTTGGTACGAGTAGGTTAGTCTACAAACGTCGCCTAAAGTAATTGATTTTACCCAGCAGAACGAAAGAAGGAAACTCCGCTTTTCAGTTGTCTCAGGCGATTGATTTTTGACAAACAATGACCTTTCAGAGGTCAAATTGCTGTCAAGAATATGAATTGGCTGCTTCGCAGCAATTATTATCATTGAATTGTATTAGAAAACTTAATGAAGTCCTAGTTATGACATTTAACTGCATTGGGTTGAGCCGTCAGTGAATAAAGCAACAACCCCCACAGAGTGTGTCTTAGTGACTAGTTTTGACATAAAACTGCATTGGGTCGAGCCGTCGGCAAACAGACCAACAACCCCCATAGCGTGTGTCTTAGTGACTGCTGAGAGAAGAGTGTTATGATCACCCAGCAACAAAATAAAAAACAAGCTGATGAAGGCTAATAAGCTCCTTTGTGTTAACAGTCAACCATGTTTTGATTTAATATAGGTCATTATTTAGTACACAAATGTTGAAATGCCATGGTCAGAAAAATATTCGCCATTTGGCAATATGCATCGTGTTTATAAATAGAACAGTGTAACAGCAGACAGCAAATACATCTTAAAAACACAACAACAGTTGCAAAGCTCAATAGAACAGTACAAATGTTTATAGACTGAAGTGAAAAAAATGTTTTTCATAAGAAATCTGTCAAATAAGCATTAAAAGGATAGTACTTACTTTCATCCATCAGGAAGGAGCTCTGGTCCAACTCTGAACCAAAAGAACTCCTACGTGATGTGTGGCTTCGTGATTCAACACTGCGGGTGTCAGAGCGTGCTTGTAAGTACCAGCGAGACCGCCGGAAGGGTGAAGATTTTGTCGAAGAGGGCTCCGAGTCTTGTGTCAGGTTCTCCAATGCTACTCCTTGGGAATTCACTTCATCAATCTTGGAAGTGAACCCATCATACTCCTGAATTAAAGGCTAGAAGGTGAGGAAACAAAGAGATTTACCATCTTTTGTGTAAGTCGAAAGGCTGAGCGGTTAAGGCAGGGGCACCATAACCATAGCCAACAATACCGGCAGGGGTTTGTGGAATATAAACACTCTGGTTTTTTTTGTTATCTACCCAACATAAATAATGGTATAACCCATTCTTACCTCATGTTGATGCTGCTGCTGTTTCAGTGTTTCAATATCTATGGCGATAGGAGGAAGGGCATCAACCTTATCTTCCATATTTTCCAGCCAGTCACAGGTAGCTTTGGCAATTTCACTAAACTTATCGTGAGCTTCTTGGCTTTCTTGTAGTTGGGTGTTCCTGAGGTAGATAATGTTGATAGAGGATTATATTTCTTACTTGCCAACTACAGGATGAAACTAACTGATGCACTGTAAACTACCTGTAGTCTCATAAGCAAGGGATGTATCAGTGGTAAGAGAGACATGCTGAAATTTCAAACAATGGAAGACAGTAATATTTTGATGTCATTAACTCACCTCTTTTGCATCAGTGCTTCCAAAGTTTCCCAGTTCTTTGAGAGGTTTGCCATCATGTCAGTAATCCTACTGGTGTCTGATGTTTTTGGATCTCTGGTGATGTCACTGCCAAGTCTTTTGATGTCTTGGAATGTGTATCGATTTTCATCAATTTCTCGTTGGATTTCCTAAAGTGGATAGCATAGGGAATGATTTTAATATTAAAACAAGATACAAGAATATTTATTGATTTGTTTTGTCTAAATTACATGGTGCCAAATATGTTTGCAGATGGTTACAATAATAAGACAACACTTAGTACGTTATTTTGGAAGAAGCAGTAATCACAATTTGTTGTGTCAGTAAAGGTATTACCTCTTAAATGAAACAGTGATATGTGATAAAATTATATATTAATCAAATCAAATATTAAATATATCAAATACTTGATTATTTACCATTAATTTCATGCCAAGTTCGAGGAGCTCCATCCGGTTGAAGTCTCTGGACTCAAGCCTTTCAATCATTGGAATGAGCCAGTCTTCCAGTTTGTCAACCTCTGCTTGGAGTTGGTCCAGCTTGGCCAACATCTTGTGTAGGTATTCATTATGGTTTTTAGCAATGTTGCTAACCTTGACATAGCGAGTGCTCAGAATGTCCAACTTGCCCTTGATGTTCTGGGCAAGTTGTGGATCACTGGTCTTTATTAGAGCCATAGCAGACTCGTGGAGGGAATCAATTGCTGGTTTGTTACTCTCAATATCTGTTTGTAATAACTGTAAAGAAATAAAATATTTGATATAAATAACTTATCTTTTTCAGTGCAAATAAGTTAATACTGTAATTAATTCAAGTATTACTTGCTAAGTACATATAAATTATACTGTACTGTTCTTATCGTAAACATGGTGAAAAATGAATGAGGAAGACAACATGGTGATTAGTGATCGACATAATTTGTGCTTCTATTTTTTTAAGGATTGTCCTTGTTGAGGGAACAAAAACATTAGTTGGCGTGTTCAGGTACATATTCATAGAAAATAAAACAAAGCAGTACATTTCCAGGCTAGTCCAATCAGGCCAAGAATAAGCCTAATTTTTTAATAACTGTAATTTTCAAGTATATATAATAATTATTGTTTTATATAATACTTTTACTAGAGGGGTCTAGATACCTCCACCGCTCTTAGATATGTTCCAGTCATCATTTAAAAAAGAAATTGAGTTTAAATAGAAAAACACAACAATAAGGAAAGAAAATTGAATTTGTTTGTCCCTACAGAGAGAATATAAATCAAATTTAACTAACATATTTTAAAATAACTAACCAATGATTGTGTCCAAAGAAACAGTGTAAACAAAAGTTTCTACGCTAAAAATAGTAACACAAAAATAGGCCCTGCTTGCACTTACAATGGAACAAAATTGGGGTGGCAATTTTAAAATTTTGTGTTTATGGTTTCAATTAGGCAAAGTCTTATTAACGTTGACTTCTTTTGTAAGTGCAAACAGGACCAATGACATTGTTAAGGTACACAAAAGAAACACAAACTAAAAAAGACCCAAAGAAACTACAAAATACCAAAAAACATTTTTTAAAATATATTTAAAAAAAATATTGCCACCAAACCAACTACAAATATAAAGCTTATACATAAATACCTTTGTAAGTATTCGTAATTTTGATGTACACAGCTTTGAGAACAAATACAAATGTTTATATTTTCATATGAAGTAATCAAACTTTGTTATATAACCATAATATTTTCATATTTGAGGTTTATTTTGTTTGTGAACTTCTAGCCAGAAGAATAATATTGCCTATTTTTCATAAATTTCAGCCCAAGCAGTGCTCACAAACTTGCTGATTATATCACTTGGAGGAAGTAAATTGAAGGTACAGTAGTTTACTTTATCCAGTACAGTATACATTAAATATTCCATATTACTGCTCTGTCATTTTATTACTTTCACTTTTATGAACTTGTGAATCAACAACAATTAACTCACCTTCAAGTCTTGAATTCTTTCCAAAAGGGCTTCCTTCTTGACAACAACAGGCGACTCCGAGAGCTTGGTGACACTTTTCTCTGTGGAATCCACCCAGCGAAGCAGCTGGTCGATATTGTCGTGAACGCTGTTAGCAACTACGATTGCAGTGCGCAACTTGTTGCTACGGTCTGCTAGTTGCGATTCCATCCAGTTATATTTCTCAGTAACATCACCTTTGGTTAAAGTAGAGTAGATAGATAGAGAGAATCATTTTTTAAAATATCAAACTGATCATATTCAACATGATTCTCTACAAACTATCTATCATTATGAGTCCCTAACATCAATTAAAAAAAACCACAACAGCTGAGTGCAACAGCAGCAAAAAAAATATAGAGCCTTTATTAGAACATTAATGCTCTATAACCGAGTTTGAAACTCTTATTTATCAGAAGGTTTAGACATTCAAAATCATAGCTTACGTATTGTTTCTTCTACTTGATCTTTGACCTGTCCTTGAGCATCACTCAGATCCTTCCCATAATCCCTTAGTTTTTCAATATCCTTGGTGTGTAGAACACAATCATCATGTAGAGCCTAAAAAACAACATTTAAAAATATTGAAAAAAATGGACTGAAATTAATTACAAATTTACCAACCTCTAATATATATAATCATAAAAAAGAATAATAATAATGTAATAACTTTTAAATTTTCATACTATTATTCTTTAAAAAAAAAAAACCATGAAAATGAATTTCCATAATGTGTACAAGGAACCAGCTTTACTGAGGAAGGATGCAGGAACTAAATAATTTTTAGGAAAATTTTTACACGGGTAATGTGGGTTAGTCTGTCAAGATTGAGTGCAGTGGGAATACAGTGATGTCCACACACACACACACACACACACACACACACACACACACACTCATACAAACACAATTGATTATAAGTTTTTTTGCATTACATGCATAGGAACTAAAAATGGCCCAGTACTAAATATAAATTTCAACCTAATCACATTGTAGAGCCTTGTTGGAGTATTGTCAGTAATCAGAACTGACCTTTTGAGAGTCCATCTGAGTGGTTACATTCTCAGGCTCAGCTGCAATTGGTTCTGCAACTTCCTTTGACACCTTCTCATAAGCAAGTTCTAGCCATGGTAACACAACATCACAAGCTCCTTTGTATTTCTGATGTTTCCCAACAAGATCTTTCTGGACCTTGTAGTGGGCACGACTGCGATTTTTCAAACTCATGTAACGCTCGTACGAGTCTGCAAGTTCATCACGGATGATGTTTGACTCAGGTGTCTCCAGGAATGACTTGTTGAAAGATGCTGGCATGGCCGACTTTCGGAATTCACCAAGACCACTTCGGAATTCCTGAAAGTAATGAGTTGATATACAACTTACCATTAATATTTCAATACCAAAACATCGCAAATATATGAGTGAAAATAACAAAAATAAGGTGATACAGACAGTTTTAAAATAACTTCACTACATATCTTCACTTTTATAACAAAGAAGAGATTCTGACCTTGGCACTGTCCAAATATTTATGACCAGCTCTCTTGATAAACTTTAGGTCACCTTTGTGGTCACTGACATCTTCCATGATCTCTTTCATCTCTTCTATTTGATCGGTCAGTGTTGTTTGATCACGGCCAACATCTTTCTGCAGATTATCTACTTTCTGTTCTTGTTCCTGCAGCCAATCTTCAAACTCTTTGAATTCCTCTTTGTACTGCTGCAAATCTTCCAATGCTGACTTCAACTTATTCACTCTGGATAGTGACTGCCCGCTGACAGCATCATAGCGTCGCTTCAGATCATCGCTGGTAAACTTTAACTGAGCTTCGTCTTCTGGTGAAAGTTTGTGTCCATGTTGTCGCAGCAATAGAACAACCTCCTGCTGAGACTGTGACATGATTGGCTGGTGATCTATAACATCCTGGTGTAATGCCTATACACAGAAATAAATTTAGATAAACATAGAGGTTTCTTTAGTTTCTGATACTACTGTATAGAATTCTGCATACGGTTCTGTAAAACGACTTTTTCTGTTACAAACACAGCTTTGTTTAATAAAAAAATCCTTTATATGGAAATATGCTTATTGTCAGTGGTGATTTTTACCTTATGTCTGTCTAGCTGTACTGATACAGACTTAACCTGTTCGTTCATAGGCTGGGCGGAGCCAAGTTTCTGTTCTGTCTGACTCAACCAATCAGAGAAGCTCTGTATTTCATTCATAACATCTGACATTTTCTGATCCAGTGAAGACTAAAAAGAAAATAGTTCTATATTTAAACAATCTGTTCATGTTAGGTTTAACAATGACTATGATTATGATTGTGTACAACAGAGACAGCACAAACAAGCTTTATAAAGCAGTTCTATAATACAAAAGCTTAATTTTGCTTGCTTTAACCAACCACCTTTAGCACTTACCTGATCAAACTACATATGGTAAATATACTAGAATAGTATTGACATGAAAGAGAAGCTTGTACAGTTGAACACCAAAAAAATAAAACATACCACATATTACACCAATGTAAACAAGAAAATTCTGCATATAAACTTTCTAAAATATCTTATATAAATTTATAATTATAAAGTAAAGACAATGTTATTAAAGGTACTGTACATACTATATAAATCAATAATGCATGAGTATATCAACATCATTTTTAACTAAAATATAGTATGTCTAATTATAAAAACATGGTACCTTTTCTTGTTCTTCCATCTGCTTCTTCTGGATGGTGTCTTCAATTGCCTTCTTGCGCTCAACAATATCGCCAGCAAGCTTGCTGAAGCGATTCTTCATGACTGTATGTCGGTTTTGTAGAACCTCATGTTGTTCTGGTCGAAGATTTCTGCCCCGCTCTTGGATCAGATGATCTGCACCAACAGAAGCTTCCTGTACTGGAGTCTGTTGGCAGACAATCTCAGATTCAACAGCCTACAAATAAAAAAACTGAATCTATTGAAGTACAAAAAATTGGATCTATGGACAAATCATTTTTGTATCTCTGCATGTGCTGCTAGGTCTTTCTTTACAATATGCACATACTGTACATTTTCATAAAAAAATACATATTACAACAGAAATCTTCAAACATAGACACATGTTAATCAATAACACTGACCACTAATGTCTCTAGTTCATGTTGAAGCTCTGTCAGACTTTGAGGTGTTGCCTGTAGGTTTGTGCTCAATGTATCCTCAGTGGCAGTGATCCATTCGATGACACTTTCCATTGGAGTCAACTTCTTTGTAGTCTCCAGAACCAACTCTAGTTCATCCTCACGATCATCAAGTTCAACATCAAGATCCTTAAAGCGTTTGTTGACATCATCCACTTGACGTTGGATTTCAGTTTTCTCTGAAATATCCAAAAAGAAATACATTACTGAGGAAAATTTCTTAAGTATACCTTCCTTATAGAAACCCTTTTATATTTAATACAGAAATATGAAGTGGCATTGAGTTGAGTTCATAATTACAAACCTGTATTTATCCATCTATGCCTATCAAAAATAACTTAATATTAAAGTTCTCCACCATGTTATAGGCTATGATTAAGTGGGTAGCCTCATCTAAAAATGCAAGCATACTAATGTGGACTTGTGAGAATGTATTTAAAATATTTAACTATTGACTTACCCTCTAAGAGTCCACTGACATTCAAGTCTTCTTGTCCCCGAAGTCTTGACATTACAGGCTGAGCAATTGGGGTTGATGTAATCACCTCTGTTGATTTGCGATGGAATCTGGAGATTGCTTCTGGTGCATCTTGAATCAAGTTGTCTAATGCTTTGCCTAGATCATTCACCTTGATAATGTTAGGTTTGTATTCTACAACCTCTTGCTTGAATGGCTATGTGAAAAAAAATTAATGAACATTATCTAGATAAATCAGTCATCAATTTTTGTTGTATTCTTGTCTGCTATGAACACACAAATTAATACTATCACTAAGAGAAGTTGGCCATAGATTTAAAAAAAAAAAAAAAAAACAGTATTAGCTTTCTTTTCAGAAACATATCTTAAAAAATTTTCAAATCTTACTTTCACTTCTTCCAGCTGTTTCTGAATACTCTCAACATCAGTCGGTATGGGACCAAGTTGACCTTTCTTCCGTTCCATCCCTGTTAACCATGTGTTAACTTCACTCAGTAAGGAGTTGTATTCCTCACGTAGTCTTGTTCTTTCGTCAAGTTGTTTCTTCCTATAAAATCACCCAATAAAAACACAATCTTGAAACTTGCAACCAATGAGTTTTATTTCTTCCCAACAAATTTATCTATTTTAAAATTGGCTTCTAACATAGCTGTTTGAAGAAGATTTGTTAGAATCATTAGCAGACAGCCAATAACAGATTATTCAGTGTTAAGTAACAGCAAGAGGGAAAGTTACAAATTAATTTAAATGGAATTAAATATTGCTCTTACCTAAAGCTCAAAAGATCATCCAGTTTAGCCCAGTTCTGGTCTAGGTTTTGAACTAGGGCAGTAATGTTGTTGACATCACTAGTCTTAGCTTCCCTCAACATTTCGTCTGCTACTTGGTGGACTTCTTCATATTCTGGTTCAAACTGGGCACGACTGCTCTCAATTTCCTGTAAGAACAAAGGGTAGATGATATTAATAATCATCATAATGACAAACATTGATAAGTCTGAAGACAAATACAATGATGGTTAAAATACTTTTGAATTTTTCCATACCTGCAGCACACTTCCCATTTCTGCCAAATCCTTCTGGTTGAGTTCCTTTGACTCCAAAATGTCAAGGGTTGGCAGTAACCAGTCTTCAACTTCGTCTGTCTCCCTCTGTAGACGGCACAACTGATCAGTGACTGTTTGCAGAGTAGCACTCTGCTCTTTGATGGGTTTGAGAACCTTGCCAAAGCGGGCATTCATATCATCCAGTTTATTTTGAATGTTCATGACAACACTGGGATCACTTGTCTGAATAAGGCTAGCAGCTGCTTGATTGACCTTCTCAATATTTGGGCGAAGACTTTCTAGTCTATTTTCCAAATGCTATAGAAATTCAAAGAGAAAAAAAATCATAATTAACAGGTTAATCTTATTTAATCCACCAGGCCAACCAATATTTTCATAAGGGTACAGAACATATGCTAAGAAGGGCTGAACGGCCATCCTGCGGCAAAACAATGTAACTGACATTTTTGTCGATTTTGAGGTAATATCAATTGGGAGTATATTTAACACTTCTAAATTTCCTCTGAAAATTTGAAGTCTCAACAATGAGTTGTTTTGGAGATAGCACCACCTATCTTTAAGCACAAAACTTAAAATCTGGTGATTTACGATCCTTACCCCATATTGTTTGACAGTTTCCAGCAGCGCTTCTTTCCTCATCATCACTGGTGCCTGTTCAAGTCGTGACTGAGCATACTCAGCATCCTGGATCTGTCGGACTAGGTTGTTCAGACCTTCCTGAACGTTGTTGGAATCAGCCAAGGCTGATTGTAGCAAGTTGCTTCGCTCCATTATCTTGGCTTCTAATTCACTGTATTTGTCGACCTTTTCTCCTTAAAATAATATAAAATAATTTTGTTTTGATTGAATCTTAATTAAAATGTACATTTTATAAGAAAGATTGCATTATTATATTTATGTTTACAGAATTTGAACCAATAAAACTGTGATTTAAAGAGGACTAACCACGCAAATATAGTTTTACTTACTTGTTTGATAAGCCACATCTTTTTTCACTCCGTCATGAACTTCACAGAACTCCCTGCTGGCTTCCTTTAACCTCTCCACTTCTTTGCCATGAATCAAAATGTCATCTGCAACAGTTTTAAGTTTGCCTAATTGATGCTGCACTGTTATCGGTTCTGCTGCAACAGGTTCATCTAGAAGTTGCTGAAGATTATTGGCTGTTTCATCAAGCCATGGTGTCAATGGCTCACTAGTAGAGAAGTACTTCTGCTGCTTCTCTGTCACATCTTGCAGCTTTTTAGAGTGGTCAAAACATCTGGTTTTCAGACGATCATATTGAGTGTTTACACTTGTGAGCTTGTCATGGATAACATTTGGTTGTGACACCTCACTGAATGTCTTGGTAAACTGCCTAGGAAGAACCTTGCCACGAAATTCAGCTAAATCTTCCTTGTAGTTCTGAAATTATTCACAAAATAAAATTCTGAGCTTAAAAATTCAAAATTCTTAATATAAACAGGATTAGCTCATTCCATTATTAAGAGCTGAAAAAATATTATGCAGATAAAATAAAATACAGATAAACAAGCACTTTATGCATAAATTCTTCTTGATGATATGCATGAAATTGAAATTGTTAACTGGTTGATTGTTCTCTATCAAAAATTAACTCTAACCTTCGAAGAATTTATGAACTTCTGTCCAGACATATTGAGGTATTTCAGATCAGCAGCATGGGTGATGACATCATCAGTGAATGCCTTCTGTAAACTGTACTGCTTCCTAAGGCCTCTTGCATCTGTCTCAACATTCCTTGTAGATTCTTCCAGCTTTTGTTCTGCTTCTTTCAGCCATTCTTCAAAGTGTTCAACCTCTGGCTCAAATTTCTGGATGTCTTCTGTTGCATACTGCAGTCTTGACAATCGAGCATGGGAGTTGGAATGTACTGTTTCATAGCGTGCCTTTAGATCTTCCAGACCCTCTTGCAGTGTTTGTCTCTCTATGTCTTCTAGTTTGTCTTGAGGGAGCTTCAATACCTGTTGAAGCTGTTGCATAACTTCCAATACTGGAGCTTGGTGGGCAAGTACATCTTTGTGAAGAACCTAAGAAGAACAAAACACCATGATTAGAATCTTGATTTGCATCAGTAGTTGGCACTGAAATGGTAGAAGAGAACTATTAACCAAAACAACTCAGTTGCAACTAAGTGTTCAAAATTGCCAGCTCAATCATTCCCAAATCTCATAACTTATTAGTTCTGCTGGAAAGAGCATCAGTTTCAAGTATATTGAATTTACCTTATGTTGGTTAAGTTGATCAGTTAACTGCCTTCCTTGTTGGCTCAAAGGCTGCTCTGACCCAAGGTCATGCTCTGCTTTAGTCAGCCAATCATTAATTGATTGCAGGCTCTGTATGGCTGATTTATATTGTTCCTTGCTTTTGGTCTGTAAAAAAAAACCCATCATTTTCAGTATTAAATTTTGATGTATTTTGTGACTCCATTGTGAATTTAATTGCATTACTGTAATGCTGCATGGTATATTCATATTTCCATATTTTGTGAAAGTAATTTCCAATACTGCCCATTATAAAGTTATTAATGTCAGTATTTCCACACTCCATTTTAAAAACTGTACAATATAGTAGTTATATCCAATCTTATATTTTGATTGCAACAAAGGTGACATAAACCACAGATTTGAAAACACACTAAATAATTTTTAAAATGAACATACTTTCTCTTCAACGACTTGCTTCAACTGGTCAAGCTTGGTCTCCGACTGTCGGTAGACAACGTCCGACTTCTGTGTCACATTGTCGTACTGTGAGCGGAGATCACTGACCTGATGCTCCAATTGCTGTGCCTGTTGTGGTGTGATTTGATTGCGTTTGTCGGCCAAAAACTGCTCGGTGGTGTGAATAGCTTCCAAAATGCATGGTTTATTGGCCGACACATCAGAGAGTATACCCTACATAAAAATTAAAAGTTTGTAAATAATAATGCATACATTGTCATACACACACCAATACAGAATTTTGTCTGAATTCTATCACTGTTCTTCTTACTTTCAGTGGGAGGTCTGAAATTCAAGTTACTATTAGGCAATATTTTTGAAAAAGTGGTAATTTTCATGTGCACAATTAAAAGAAGTAAATTTCCAAACAGGATCCTTCATCAAAATACATTCTGACACACATATACTTACCCTGTAAACTTCATACTCTACATTGAGCTGCCCTAACTCCTCACTCTTTGGTGCTGATTGCACAAGCTTAGAATCAACTTGTGTAACCCATTCTACTAAGCCACCCACTTGGTTAGATTTCTCCAAGAATGCCTTAGTCATAGCAAGTTCATCATCACGATCATTCAGGCGATTTACTAAAGTATCATAGCGCTTCTTTGCAGATGACAGTTCTGTTTGTATCACACTTTCTTCCTCTGAAATAGTGAATTTAAGTATTATTCATGTTTGCTGAAAATTGACATAACTGCCAGAATTAATTTTATTAACATCCATTTTAGAATAAAATAACCACACATAAATGCAGCCAAAAGGTAAAAGTATTTGCAAAGCAAAATGCTAGCACTGATTTTCTAGGTCATCTTTTAATAAATACCTTCACTTGTAAAGGTCGTCTCCTCCACATCTGCTGGTTTAGGAGGGAGTAGAGCACCATCACCAGCTGACCCAACCTGAAGTGACCGGTAGTGTGGTCTTGAGTGTACCGGTGATTCTTCCTCATGCATCAACTTGTCAAATATTTGGCCTAACTTGTTCAGATCTGTGACCTTCTGCTTGTATGCACTGACCTCAGATTTTAGGGGCTAAATTATATTTAAGAATTGCCATAAAGAAAAACGTTGTTAAATTTATTCCTTTATTATTTATTTAAACACTTTTTATCTTTCCAGTTTTCAGTAGCTGATAATAAGCACATTCAAAAATATCATTGATTGAAATGAATAAAATACTACAGATTGGCAACAGTTTTTATTCAGACAAGTAAAATACTTAGCAAACATTGAGGACAGTATAATTCACCTTTACTTGGTCCATTTGGGTTTGCACTGTTACAATGTCTTCAGCAACTGGAAGCAGACTATCAACCTTGTGCTCCATGGTGTCCAGCCAATGGGTGACATCTCTGTGGTACTGTTGATATCTCTTGTTTGCTCTTGCCTTTGAATCAAACTGCTTGAACCTGTGAGGGTAATTTGAGAAAAAAAAATATTTTGGGAAATATTGTGTCAAAATACAAAAACTAATTGTAGAAAACATAAAAAATGTAATGGCAGTACTGTTTATTGGTCCGCATTCAATGAAAATTGAAAATTTGGGCTGGGCCACTGGGCACCTGCGGCAGCCGCAGCGCAGTGCCACCAGACATAACTACAACATATAACGGACACATACATATACAATGTTGTCCTTTACCCGCCTAACTCTCAATATGAGGGTTATTCGAGGAGCCAAATAATAAGATTCAAATTGAAATCTGACACTGGCCAAGTCTGAACTGAGGTCTTGAGCACAACCGCTTGGGTCGACCAACCGCTTGGGTCAAATAAAAGGTGTAAATATATTTTATTTATCTAAAATAACATCTGCCATCTCTTTAGATACCGTAATGCAAACATGTAGCGATGTTTGTAGTCTATGGTAAGGAGCACAGGGCTGGAAAAAGTGCGCGACCAGCGGTCAGAGGCAATGACCATTACCTCTGAGGCATTTTAGAAAAAAAATTTTTTTTGTTTTTTTGTTTTTTGTTACAAATCAAAATTTAATGCATACCGGTAATTAAATTTGATATTTATGCTTCCTCCAAACCACAAAATGTACTACCGTTTAGTTATAATAGTCTAAAGATAACATTTGGTGCTGGAGGCATTTGATCATTTTCAAGATCGGAGGCACAAAAATATTCTTTCCAGGCCTGACCTCTCAAAAAGAAATGTTGGTTCTACCATAGACAACTCTTCATAAAAGCAAATGTCCTCATTCTCTTTCGTAAATCTTTGAATAAAAGAACCTACAGGAGTCTCAATCAGAAATTTAGTTAAGGATACATGTGCATTTATAGAGAGTTGAAAATAGATAGTTCAATTATGTATTTGAAAAACAAACTTTAACCTTTTAGCAAGGAGTTCATCCAGTGATCTCCAGTTTAGATCCACATTCCTCATAACTGTTGTTATGTATGATGTGTCTACTGCTTTAGAGTCTCGTACCATCCCATCACCAATTGAGTGGACACGTTTTAAGCGTAGTCTATTCTCACCCATCTGTTTCTTTATCTCCTGTAAATGAAGACACAATTGGTAACAGTTACATAGATTATGTAATATGGCATTATTACTTGTTGGTAATAGTAATTTAATCTTTGTTATACAAAACAAACTGTTTACTTTACTATTTTTAATTATCTAGGTATTAGGAATGTTTCATTGTTACTAGTATAATTATCAAACACTTCTTTATCATCATTATCATTTTTTTACACACCTTAAGTTCTTTTTCCAGTGATGGCAGATCCAGTTTGCCGATATCCTTTGACTGTAGTCTGTCCAAGACTGGAATCAACCAATCTTCCAAAGTCTCCACTTCCTTCTCAAAGACTTCAAGATTGTCACTAATCTCTTGCAAGATGTGTTTGTAATTGTCTGTAGCAATGGTGAGCTTACCATACCGTGCACTCAATGCATCTACTTTGCTTTGGATTGTGCGAGCTACTTTAGGCTCAGATGTTTCAATGAGCTTGGCAGCTTGGCACTTCACTGATTCTATACGTGGTAGCTGACTCATAATTGTCTCTTCAACAGCCTGCAAAAAGTATGAGAGAAATTTTATGTTCTTTGCATTGTTTGCAAAGGTGCATGATAAGGTGGAGGCCAACCAGGACCAAAGCTCTAGTGTGGGTCTTGAGAAACTAGAATTTTGAGTCAATTTTAAGGGTTTTCTGAGACCTTTTAAAATGCATTATGTCTCTCTTCCCCCTCCACTTGAACAAAAATATTGTGTTCTTTAATGGTCTGAAAAGTTGTAGCTAACCCGGGGGAGAAACTTTGTAAAAAAAGGTTCCCCTCTCTATATTCTATCATGACAGTATTACAGGTTTACCAAATGTTCCCAAGTGGTTACAAAACCGTGGATCAGCTTTATTCAATTCAATTGAATTCAATTTCAAGATATATTAAACATTTACCTTATGTTCTTGAATGGTTGCAAAGAGTGGGTCACGTTTGGTAACAATAATAGTCCCTTTTTCAATTCTATGCGAGTCTTTTTCGGCACCATCAATCCAATCCAGTAGGTCATCAAGACCATCTTGTACATTCTGTGACTCAGCCAACTTTGTGTGAAGTACGGCATCTCGTTCTTTTATCTGATTGTCAAGTACGTTGTAGCGGGACAGAAGTTGTTCTATTGTTAATGAAATATTAAGAAACAATAAAATTTCAGTAAAACAATAATTGAAAAGCATGTTTAAGCAGTGATGTTTTTAGTATATAAACACTGAAGGACTTATTGTAAGTAATGATAAAAATAACCTGAGATGTTTCTGCCTAAATCTGACACTTTAAATCACATTTTTTTAAAATAATTGCATGCAACATTTAGGTAAAGATTGAATGCACAGGTACTATTAACCCTCTTCTATAAAATAAATTATGAGCCTGATATACAAAATCCAAAAATTAGCCAGAGGTGAGGATGGTATGACAATAATCTCATTGGTACCACCTATGTAGCAGGGGTCCCAAGTTTCAAGAAGTCATCTCTGGGAGATCTACAGTGGCTGATCCAGGAATTTGATATAGAAGGGGGAGGGGGGGTGTGGTGGAAACAGGTTGAGACTTTCAAAGGTGTACGCCTAATCCCCACCATTGTTATGGCTGTGGAAAAACATTTATGATTATGGCACTTACCTCTAGATGGCCAGAAATGACACTCTCAGACATAAATTTTAGAATGTAATGTTTCTTTTTCCCTTTTTTTTTTATAATTTGGAAAATTAAAGGGCCTGACCGGTTGTTCCCTTTAAATCCTCCACTGATCCACATACAATACTAGCCTGTTAACAATATACCACTATATCTCACCTGTACTGGCATTTGCTGCTTGGACTAGCTCTGGTTGTATGGCTCCCAATTCATGTGCCGTTTCTTTTGTCTTATCAATGTCCTTCAACTGACCACTGACAGCTGTTCGCAATGTCTAGGGAAGGAAGCCAGAACTCGTACTATACATACTAGGAAATTGACCAATTCAAAACAGTTTGTAGGCTTATCATAAAAATATCTACCACTAAAACTCAGCATAAAGAAATACAATACAGAAATCAAATTATAAATCATTAAAAAAAAAGCTTCAGGTACTTTTTTTTAGTATGTATGACAAGCAAGATAAACACAAAAAAAATTTCAAGAATTGTATTCTCTACCTTTAGCTTGTCAATCTGTTTCTGCACCACAACAGGATCTGCTCCAATTGGTTCATGCATGATTGCTTTCGCTGTATTTTCCGTATCCTGAAACCAACTCTGAAGTTGGTCGCATTGATCCTCAAATGATTGTTGCCGTGATACAACCTCTTCCAATTCTCCACAATGATCCTTACTGCTGAGCTTCAACCGCTCATAGCGTGCTGTAATTTGGTTCAACTTGCTGCGGATAACATTGCTTGGAGGATTTTCGGTGAAATTACGAACAACCTGACGTGGTACAACTTCACGATATGCAGCTAAATCTTGCTTGTAGCCCTAAAATTAAGAAATGGAATATTACAGCAAAGCATTGCATAATTTAACCCTGCTTCCTAATAATCCAGTAATAATAAATGAATCATAATAGTAGTAAGATGATTCTTACCTTGGCTCCATCTAATATTTTCTGCCCTGCTTTTACAATGTACTTCAGATCTGCTGAATGAGCAATAACATCTTCATTGAATCCCTTCTGCTGACCATAGTGGGATCTGTTACTGGAGAGGTCTTTGCTGATACCTTCCATTGAGGCATCCAAAGAAGCTTCTGCAGAATCGAGCCACTTCTCAAAGTCTTTTACTTCCTCTTCCAACTTAGAAACATCCTCTTCTGCAAACTTTAATTTATTTAGGCGGTTGTGCGACTCCGTGTTTGCAGCATCAAAGCGATATCGAAGGTCTGTTTGGTACTCTGAGAGCTTCCGGCGCTCATCCTCATTAAGGTGCTGGGCGTGCTGTCTTAGAAGCTGTTGGGAGTCCTGAGTGGCTTGCACAACTGGTGTCTGGTGAGCCTGAATGTCTTCATGAATGATCTAAAATGGAAAGAAATCAGTTAATATCCAGAATATGGAAATATCAGAATGGACAGTATTTGGAATAAAGCATTAATTACTGTCTTAAAGTATATCATCATTAGTGGCATATTATAAAAAATAAAAATTAATAACAATATTGCTCATATTTTAAGAGGAAGTTATTAACTCCAAATGATATACAGATTGAGACATTTCACTATTCACTGACTTACAGATGTTTTACTAGAGAAATCCTTAAATTGATTACCAGCCAACATAAGGAATAATAGGGAGGAACAATACGGGTAAGGATGCAAAGGAGTAGTCTATGATAGGGTAAAATAAAGCAAGTGTTGCACAACCTTGTGTTCCTTGAGTTGCTGGGGCACATCTGCTGTTGTCTCTGCTAGAGGTTGTTCTGTTGCCAGGGCATTCTCTGCAGTGTTAACCCAATCAAGCATATTCTGAAGTCCTTGGCAAATACTAGTGTATCGGTCGCTAAGTGCAACCTTTACAAAACAGAAAGAATAGATTTATCAGAATAATCAATCGTCATTTAATAATTAAAACAGACATACTGCGAAAAAGATATAAAAAAATGTTAAAATAATATTTGAAGATAATAAAAAATGAGAAAACATTTTTATTAAAAAACATTCTACTACATATAAAAAAAGCAGAAAACAAAAAAGTTTACCTGTTCTTCCTCTTGCACATTAAGGTGTTCCAAAAACCGTTGTGACTCCCTCTGCCATTCATCTGAATTAGTGCAAAGTGCTTCAAACTCAGCCCTGAGGTCATTGACTTTATCCTGTAATTCTTTTTGTATTAATGGGGTAAAGGAATCATGGTTGTCCCTGAGGAACTGCTCTGTGCCATGGATTGCCTCAAGAATGGATGGCTTGCTTGCCAAGAAGTCAGAATTAACAGCCTAGGAATAAAAAGATAAAATTAAATCACTATGTAATAACAGCCATAATTTTGATTAGTTATTCTCAAAAATGTCTGAAACATTGATATAATCATACCGTAAATGACTCCATCTCCCTTGTTAGTGGGATCAACTCTCTACTAACTGGCTTCTTTTCATAAAGGTTTCCATTCATCTCTTTCACCTGGTCTGTCATCTTCTCGACAGCATCCTTTTTATCCAACCAAAGATGCATAACTCGAAGTTCATCTAACAATCCTATTATGACCCTGTCTAGCTCGTTGTACCGTTTGTTGATCACAAAAAGTTCTTTTTCAACATCAGTGTCTTCTGGATTTGTAAGGAAAAAAAAATAAATAAGTAAATTACAAGTACAAACACTGAATCTTCTGATAAGCTTTATCTAGCTATCTGGCTTGTTAGTAAAAAACGAATGAGGATCTCTATATAGATTGAAGTGCACATATAAAATAGGCTAAATATTAGTTATGAATTGAGAAGTTCACCAAAGTTAGTCATCAGGGGCAGATTTGGGGGGGAAGGGCCCCTTTTGGAAAGTTTAAAAAAAAAAAGAAAAAAAAGAAAGAAAGAGAAAAAAGTGATCACTCAAAACGCCTCAGGTTATTTTCGGGCGTCTACAAAACAAAAATTTCGTGGGGAATACCCCGGACCCACTAGGGTGGTGTTATCTCGATCAGCCCTACTTTCGGCCTCCCTTTGGACATCACTTGATCTGCCCCTGGTCATTAAGATATGAATAACAAGACAAAATACATATTTCCCCATTTTAGATGATTAATAGTTTGTGATATAATGACAATTTTATTGACTTTTATATTAGAAATACTAGGAAATTGAACACAAATTACCAATCATTTATGTGGTAATTAAAATACATTTGTTAAAACAAGCAAAGACAAAAACCAATTCATGTAATAAATAAAAGGAATGTACAAATCTATATACCTTCCAATATGGATCTCTCAGTGCGGCTGATATCACGTTCTTGTGGTGGTGTCCACTCAGTCTGCAGTGTTGCACCGATCTGTGTTGACCAGTAACGTCGACGGGATGATATGCGCGCCTGCTGTTCACGTTGAAGACTGTCTACAGTTGTGCCAAGTTTGTTTACTTCATTAATTTTAGGTTTGTAGTCTTGAATCTCTTTCTTTAGTGGCTGTTTATAAAAAGAAAATACCCCTTGAAAATAATAGAACCAACTGTCCCCGTTTTTATCCAGTAGTGATGAAGTAGACTATGTCATTAAAACAAATACACTCTAAAATAATGTTTCTTTTGGAATAAGGTGGATAAATGGATCAAATTAAGGTTTGTGTAACATGCACTTGGTGATAGCAATTTCAACAGCTTTTATCTCCGGAGCTCTAGTTTTTCATGATATTGATAATGTAGACCTATTTTTGTAGTACTGAAAGGGATTAAATAAAAAATAACAACAAATAACAGTAATTACATTATTCAAACCTTCAGCAATTTAATACAAATAATCTATTTGACCAATAGGAAAGCTAACATACATCCACATGATGTTCTAACAATTAATATACACCTGAACCATGAGAGAGTTGAGATAAATCACATGACATTCACACTGAGTTAGCACTCACCATTGATGAATATTGGTGTATCCAAGAGAAGAGAGTGATAGAAAAATTAAGAAAAGAATGAAGTTAGAAAGCGATTCATGATAAAATGTAATATTAATATTGTGAATTAGGATATGTTTTCAACGTCTGCAAATTAATTCAAAATGTAAAAATTCTATATTTTGAAAAATACCCCATAATAAAAATGAAAGGCTATTTTCCAAGTGCTTGATAAAAACAATTATAATCTCCACAATATGACATATTTTAATAATCATACAATAATGCAGACGAAGAAATGAAAAATATTAAAAGGTATTTTAAAGATATACTGTCTTTCATAAATTTAGAAAACCCTTTAAAATTCTATTAAGCATAAAACATTCAATTAACAGTGAATAACTTACTAATGAAAGTTCATCATTTTATTAATTAGCTAAATACAGAGAGTATATCTTTAAAGAAATATATGAAATATAGATTTGACAGTGGTGCACGATTAGTTATATCTACAGCTGTACATTTCTGTGCTAATGAAAAATAATTTTAGATAGATTGCTGTGAAAATGATGCCTTTCATTGCTATTAAAACTTTTAATTATTGATTGAAGGGTTGCTTTGCAATGTAACAACGATGCTTGCAGTTCATCACATTAATAACTATGTGGTTTACTGTAAACATTTATTGCAGAGATATTAATCTTGCATATTTCAAATTATATATATGATTATTAAATATTAGTTTGTAGCACCTACTGATAACTGGGGCTCTACAATTTCATAACATAATATGAAACATACATTCTTTTCAAAATGTAACATATCACTGTACATACAGTGATATGCCCTCTCAGTATGGCATGTAAATTATGATCGACTGAATTAACTTGAGTTAGTGCAAGTATTATTGGAAATATAGGAAAGATAAATGGCATGATAAAACAACCAACACTAAAGTATTTCAACTTATACAAAGTTGACTGTTGAGTGTGACTATATAGGTTTATCGTATATTAATAAAGTGGTTTGTAGAAATTTTAAATGGTATGCTACACAAAAACTGATTTACTGAAATAAGCAAGTTAAATTCAGACCAAAGACGATGTACTAAACATTTTTATTTTCTTTTACCGTGAGTTTCTGGATTTGAATTTCTACACTGTGAACATCTCTTGTACTTGGATTAATACCCTCTAGACTCTGCTCTGTATTCTTCAACCAGAAATTGACTTTTTCTACAAGACTGCTGTATCGTTTCTTCGCTAGTTTCCTGTCATCCATCTGTCCAAATCTGATATGTAACGAAAACCATAAAAAAACTTATACATATCTGATTAATACAAAATTCAATTTAATTGCATTTTTTTCCACGATTTAATTTTGACGGTCCTTATGCTCATACCAAGATGCTAATGTTACTTAAAAAGGCAAATTGACTGGTTGACAGATTGATTTATTGTTTGATATTGATTGGTTCATTAATGTTAAATGTTACTGACCTTTTGGTCAAGATATCTTGCAGGCATGTCCAATTCTGGTTGAGGTTGGACAAAACAGCTGTAACAAAAGAGGAATCACTGGCTCTTGGGTGCTCCATTAGCTCATGTCCAAGAGCATGGATATCCTGGTGCTCCTGCAGATGGTTTGAGACATCATTGGAGATGGCCTGAAAATTAATAAGGTACATATACTATTTGTAATTTTGGCTTTGGTATAGTGTTATTAGAATCTTAAAAAACCAACCAGATTACAATCAGTGGTGGTGCCAGCGGGAGTGTTATGTGGCTCCTCAGACTTCAAAAGGGGGAAAATGTTTTCAATATATTATATAATAGTATGTTCTAAAATTACTGTTTTCTTAGGCGTCAGAGAGATTATAGACACCTTAATGCTATGTTGGAAGACTCTCCATCCAACAACTTAGCACCCAATGTACTCTAGACCCACCACTGGATGCAATGCATTAATATCAATATTACCTGTAGTTCTTGTTCTAGTTCAGAAATATCTTTCTTCATTATGTCAGGGCCCTCCAGTTCATCCAATACAGGCATCAGCCACTCCTCCAACTTGTCCACATCTCTTTCAAGATCAACAAGTTTCCCAGACAGGTTCTGAAGAGTCTCTCCGTGTTGTTTTAGGTTTGTCTTTGTGGCAGCAAATCGAGTGTTGAAATTCTCAATTTTCGACTGGAAGAGCTGCCTCTCCTCTGGACTGCAATTTGTCATTAGCTTTGATATCGCTTGCATCACCGAGTCGATGACTGGTTGATGGCTGTTAATGTCTTTCTCAAGAAGCTTGAAAGTTTAGAAAAAGAGTGAATATATCAACTACTGTACATGGACACAACATGGTGACATTCAGCTAAACAATCAAAGGTTCTTACTGCCGCCCCTATTTAAGCAAAACAACAAGCATACACTTACTCGATATTCCTGCAATCTCTCTACAAGAGGCATCTTCTTAATCACAATAACTGTTCCTTGCTGTAGTCTGAAGACAGTCCTCTCTTTATCATCAAGCCACTGGAACAGTCCATCCAGCCTCTCCTGTAGTGACTGCATGTCTGATAGAGAAGACTTCAAGGCTTTCTGTCGGTTATCAATCTGTCCTTCCAACTCATTGTATTTCTTGACAATATCATCTGAAGAAAATGTTTTAAAAAGTCATGTTTAAGATTAAGGACTTAGGAATTTTAAAAATCTAGGAAAAAAAATGACTTTTAAGTAAAAAGAGGAATCGCATCTTACATGTGGTCTGATCAACATAAGCAGTAGTACTATGCTGTGCCTCAATGAGTACCTGGCCAGCCTCTTTAACAGCATTGATGTCTTTTCCATGAAGTATAACAGCATCTAGCAACACCTTCAGAATGAAAGAAAAGAAAATACATTAAATGTTCTAGGAAAAAATTGTAATTACAGGTAAACTGTATGACAAAATCATAGAAATATATCTTTAATTTTCTTTCATATAAGTTTGCATAATCAATAAATAATTCAAAACCCATTTTTTTTATATATATGCTGCAAGAGGGCTGACATAAACCAACTTTTAAGAGCAATTTCTCTTAAGTAAAGGTCATACGTCAATTTATTCAGAATATGCACAAAATAAACTATATATTTTTAATAAATAAAAATAATTCATTAGAATTACTGCAAATATACTGTACCTTCAATCGATTAATTTGTCGCTGAATCATGTTAGGATCAGAGCCAATTGGTTCCTTCAACAATCTATCCAGATCAGTACTGATATCTCCTAACCATCGGTAAGTTGATTCAACCAGTGTGTTAAAATGTCGATGCTTCTCCACAAGCTCTGACAAGTACTTCATGTAGTCATTGCTGGTCAGTTTGAGCTGGCTGTAACGATCATTGAGATCACCTACTGTTGTCATGATGACTTCTGGTTCTGGGTTCTCTTGGAAATTTTTATTGAATTCTTTTGGCAAAACTGATGTCCTAAAGTCACTTAGTTCTTCACGGTAAACCTATTACAAACATATGTCATATGAACTATTTATTAATTTTTTTAAATTTTTATTAAATAAACATTGGCTCAATGAAATGAAAATGAGAATGTAAAAAAAAGTTCTGTACAGCATTATGGATAATTTCATTTTTTTGTTAAAATCTGGGAAATTAATTTGTTTATTTACTAAAGTGATGTGTTCATACTTATATTTGTCACTTTAATTTGTTACTGTTCAGGACACTGCAATCTGAATACATAAACAATGGTTGTGACTAATATATACTGTTCTCATTTGTATCTTTAATTATTGAAAGAGAAAACCAAATTGTTACCTTTGCGTTTTCAACAAATTTATATCCTGATAAAGTTCTGTACTTTAGATGTGCAGCATAAGTGACGATCTCTTCAGCAAAGACCTTCTGGTTTTCTAGGTTCTTCTCAAGATCCTGGAAGTTGTTGGCAACATCACACTGAACTTGATCCATCTTGACTTCTGCTGAACTTAGCCAGTGGGTGAAAGCTGCAATGTCTTGCTCTCCATGTTCCAGATCACTGACTGCTTGGTTGAGCCTGTTGAGTCGGGTGTGGGATTGAACTACAACAGTATTGTATCGAGATTTAAGGTCATCTGCAATGCATTTCAAGCGGTATGCATCCTGGTCTTTCATCTGCGTTCCATATTGCCTTACCAGTTGACTGACATTGTGGATTGTCTGAAGAATTGGTTGTTGGCAAGCCTCAATATCTTCATGAATGATCTAAAATGGTATAAAAATTAAACGTTTCTTCTTCAATTTTTAGTGATATGGGGTCAAAAGTTATAAAAACCATCTAATCGCAATAAAATGGTATAATAATCTATATATTAACACTCTTGAATGTGCATTACTAAGCTTTGACATACTATAGAGATACTTTGTAGTCTGTGCCGCAGAGCACAGTTGATAGGACCAAATACTTCTCTATGATTTACGTACTGATGGAATGATATCAGATCAAAGGAAAACCATTAAATTAACTTCCAATGGTTTATTCATACCTTGTGATGATCTGCCTGCTGTTTCAATGCTGGCAGGACTTCCTCTTGTGGCTGTTCTTGACCCAGCTGGAATTCAAGCTCAGTGACCTTATCCAGTAGTTTCACAGTTGTTGTTGTGGCTTCCTCATATTTGACACGTAATGATATCTGTAAGAGTGAAAGACAAAGAATACTATCAATCTCTATGGTATAAATGACACTCAAACACAGATACCATTTACTAATTGGAAAGAAATGGTTTATTATGTGCATTAATGAATAAATATGTAAATAAAATATACAAATGAAACGATCTCAACTTCTCAACATTATCCTTCAAGATTTTGCAATGCACCTGACATAATTTACAAAGACGGAAATAATAAAATTGATAGCATACCACTTCTGTGTGGATTCTCTCTAATCTCAAGATCTCTGTTTCTGTGTCTTTGTAGATCTCATCTGCATTCCTGGAGATGTCATCAAAGGACATCCGCAGCTCACTGATCTTCTCTTCCAACTCCTCTGTCTCTTCCTCTGTCAGTTTGTTGCGGTTGTCATGAAGGAACTGGTCACCAGCTACAATGGTCTCCAGAACTACCGACTTATTGGAGTTAATGTCAGTGTGAACATCCTAACGAAGCCAAGAAACCCACATCAATCATTCAATTATTCATTTTTATTCACTTGCACACATACAAAACACCAATAGAATATCAAGTGGTCAGGGTAATGATAACAATAATGACAATGACAATGATGATGATGATTATTCATTAAAAAGATAGATCTAGGGACAGTTATGACATAAAAATACTTTATAATATTATTTTCACAGCATATTCTTTCAATATTTGATGTTTTTTTACCTTGAACAGATCAAATTCTGATTTTAATGTCTCTAAGTCTTTGCTAGTAGGCTTTTTCTTTCGAAGGTTACGCTCTACGGCAGTGCACCAGTCCAGCCTGTGGTTCAGCAACGTAAATTTCTCTAAGAATTGACGTGTCAGGTCGATGTCTGTCTCTCGTTCACTTATCTTAAACTTGAGGGTGTTATAACGACGTCTTGTGTCACGCAGCTGATGCTGCACTGGTGAATCTTCTGTTTGTAAAAATAATTATATTTATTGTTAACATTATAATCATAAAATGAAAAGTTCTGCCCTGCAACAGCCAAAATATGAATAACAATAACAAAAACAACAATAATATTATTATTATTAAATTCATATATCATTGTATTTTTCACAAATTTAAAATGCAAGTTAAAATTACAATTGAAAGAGGGAAAAGTACATGGTTTTCATGATTTCCTGATTACCTGGAAAAATAGTCTTATTATTTAGTGAAACTTACTTTTGAAAAATAAATGGTCGATTACACAATACATATTGATTACATAGACTGGGCGAGGATGGATTATTTTCTCTTTCTTAAAAGAAAGTATTCACAAAATAGACAATAAATTATACAAGTGCTTTTGGTTGTACATACCAATGCCATCTCTTAGATTAAGGATTGATTCACTGTATACAGATGCTCTTCTGTCACTTGGCATGTAACCTCCTGCTGTGTAAGTTGACCGATGGTGGGGTTTGGTAGGTACAGGTGTTTTGAACTCTGTCCGCAGGTGGTCAAGAGAATGGCCTGCTGTCTCCAGATCAGCAATGTCTGGTTCGTAGTCATCTACTTGCGCTTTGAATGGCTAGAAACAGAGATGATATAGTTACTAGTTTTTGTTGACATTTTTTAGGCTTCGCTTACTTGCGAATATTTGTCTTCTTTTTCATTTTGCTTTATTTACATGTAATTTACACTTCTTAAGAACTTGTGACAGTGGCAAACAACATTGTTCTAGTATTAGTTGTACACTTATTATTAGTACTTATACCTATTTATTCATCATGTTGGTATTTTTCAAATGAATATTGATTCTATGGGTAGAAAAACATAATATTGTCTCTTAACCTCAAGTTCTTTCTCTTGTCTGTCTAATGTTCTCAAATCCAAAGACACTGGTTGCAATTGACTCAACTTGCGTTCCATAGTTGTCAGCCAGATGGCTGTGTCTTGGTTACCTGTATGGTAGCGTTCTTCAGCTTGGTTAAGAAGAGATAATTGCTTCTTCCTGCATCATGATTTTAAAAATAGCGAGTGATTCATTGAGATAATTATGATGATTAATTGACAATCACCATTATTTTCAGGAAAAATATCTAGATTAAGATTCAGCAGATTTAATGAAACTTATTTTTTTTAAATTTATTTATTGATTTTTGTTTTTATTTATTTTTTATTTTATTAATTTTTTTATAAATAAAAATAAAATTAAATAAAACAATCACCATTATTTTCAGGAAAAATATCTAGATTTAAGATTCAGCAGATTTAATGAAACTTATTTTTTTAAAATTTATTTATTGATTTTTGTTTTTATTTATTTTTTATTTTATTAATTTAGCAGATTTCATGAAACTTTACTATTGGTATAATTTAAGAGTGCTTTAAAATTATAATAGAGATTATCAGCTATCATTATGTATTCAACTTTAGTTTTTTGGTCTCAATATCAGATGAAGGAGTACAGCAATGCTGGTTTCCTCCAGCCTCTGCCCAGCCACTGTAGAAACATATCCATCAAATCTTTTAGACTATAAAAAGGATAAGTGGATAACTCAAGCCCTTTACTGTTGTTTGGTTTTAATAGTCTATTAATAATTTAAAGCTATACCAAAATCTATAGTATCATCATAGTGAAATATTACACCCACCTGAGGTTGAGCATGCTTTCATAAGACCTCCAGTTTTCTTCCACATTATTCAGAACACTTGTAACATATGAGGCATCATTAGATTTAGGATTCTTGATGAGTTCATTACCAAGATGTTGAATAGCCTTCAAATCTGCCTCACCAGCACTCTCCTGTGATGTTAGGTCCTTTAGGAAGCAATTTAAACACAAAGTATAACAAAGAGAAGCCTAGCACATTATAGCAAACTGTCTTTCAAAAGAGACATTTTAGCCATTGGTCTTCTATTCAAAGTAACTGTGCATGTTAATGAATGTACACACGTTTTTCAGAATAAGCAAGGGAATGTCTCTTAGTGTACTGCCCAATTGACACCATCAGTGGTGCAACTACCAGAGGTTCATGAACCTGGGACCCCGAGCTTCAGGGGCCCCCGACCTATAAAGGCCTCGCTCATTTATAAAAATCTAATAAAGCAATGTTTTATTGTAACATTTAACTATATTGCTTCCTCCCAGTCATGTAATTTTGAAACCACAATAACTTGTTTCCTTTACACCCATATTTTTTATAGTAGTGATGTATATAAAAAATAATATAAAATATATATAATAATAGTATATATAATAATACAAAAAATAAATAAAGAATGAGTGCCGTTTTCAGGCATCTATAGATTAAAAGTCTCAAATTCTTAAAAAGTACTCATCTACCCCCTAATATTATGGTGGGGCTCAGATGGATATCATAGATTTTTTACTATTCAAGTGCTATTTTGGGCATCTATAAGCTTAAAATCCTTGTAATTTTCTCACCTCAGCCCCAGCCACGGTGGGGCCCAGGTGAATATGGTAGTTTTTGGAATTGTAAGTATTTTTCGGGCACCTATTTAATTAATTCGGGTTTTTTTTACTCAATTGTCAAAAGAAAGTAAAAAGAATGAAATGGTAATTAAGTTCCATTTCGGGGCATTCAGAGGTAAAAAATACTGATAATGTTCTCACGTCACCGCCAAATATAGTGGCTGATGTGCTGTGCACTCTCACTTAATCAGCACCCCCTTCCTTAAATTCTGAATATGCCACTGGACATCATTAGGGGAGCTGCACCAAGAGCCCAGAACCAAATATTCTAGTCACTTATATAAAATCAATGACTTACTTTACTGTAAACAACAATACATTTTCATGATTGATATTCATTGCACATATCAATTTATAATGTAAATTCCCACCTTCAACCTGTTGGCAATTTCATTGGACTCTTGCACCATGAATGTTTGACTCTCAAGAGTCTCCAGATTAGGCATGATTTTGTCTTCCAATTGGTCAACCATTCTCTCCAAATCATCAAGTTCTGTCTTAAGATGTTCAAGCTCATCACCATGATTTCTGGATAAGTCCTCAAGACTTGTGTAACGATTGTTCACTTTATTCAGCTTCTCTTGAATGATACTGGACTCCTGGTTTGGTGAGCTTTGCATGATTTTCTGTGCTTCTGCATTAACAGATTCAATAGCAGCTTTGTGGCCAGTAATATCATCCTTTAGGATCTGTTAAGAAAAAAGGAAGTGAATTTTCACACAAATAATCCTGAAAATGCATACACATACAATATTTATAGCATCTCATCAGATGTACTGAAAACAAAGAAAGATGTTCTTCCGTAAAGTCTTACATTATTTAAATCAATTTGATCCATCACAGCTTCTGTCTTCAGGACGACAACAGTTCCCTTTTCCAGCTTATGCTGGTGCTCTTCAGCCTCATCCAGCCACTTCAAAAGCATGTCCAGGTTGGCCATCAATCCCTGAGACTCTGAAAGCGCAGTCTGCAGACTCTCGTAACGAGTGCCACTGGATACCTCAAGAGCTCTGTACCGCTTTACAATCTCATCTATCATGGAAAGAAAAGAAACAGTTAAATAAATATTATAGACTGCAAACTTTTTGTGGACTGCTATACAAAAAACAGATTTCTTTAAACCAAAAGGGGTTCTTCTGGTTACGTATCGGGAAAAATCTCATTTAGTGCGATTTAACCAAGAATTAAAACATTTTAACCAATATGCAAAAGCTCCAGTCGAATTCTATAATAGTAGTATACAACAAGATTTGACACTACATGATGCAATTCTCCTTCTCAATGCAAGTATTTAAAACTTAGAACCAAACTAATGTTATCATTTTTTTTTAAATATTATAAAATTTAAGCTCACCAGTTGTGCTCTCTACTTGTGGTCGGGCCTCTTCTTGAGCCTCAATGAGGTTCTGCCCAGCAGATTTAGTTAGCTCTATATCAGTTCTATGGGTTGCAACATCCCTCCTGAAATTATTAACACTCTCCAACTGTTGCTGGATTGCCTCTGTCTGTGCGGAAATAGATTCTTTTTGCAACTCCTCTAACTGACTCTCAGCTTCTGTCAGCCATTTTTCAGACTCTTCTACTCTGTCAACATAGCGCTGGTGATGCTGAATCAAACTGGCGAGATGTCTGCCATGATTGAGGGTTTCAACCTTTAATGACTCATGTCGGTCATTCAAGGAACTTATTGTTTGCCGTAGGTGGTTGCTCTCAGGTGTCTCAACAAAAGCTCTCTGGGTTTGCTTTGGCAAAACCTCAGATCTGAATTCACCCAAGTACTCCTTGTAAGCCTGTAAGATAAAGATAATGTAAATTTCTTTCTCAAAGATAACTTTTTTATTTATTTATTTATTTATTCAAATTTCTGCCAAGCACAAAACAAACAAATAAATTTACAAAACAAACAAATTTCCTACTATGATATGCATTTTTATACATAAAAAAAAATTGAGGGCAGAAAAAACATTGATGATGGAGGTTTAGGACATAACTACTTACATTGGCATTGCTCAAGAATCTTTGGGTTGCCTTGTTCATGTATTTTAGATGAGCTGAATGAGTGACAACATCATCAGCAAATGGAACATGTTGCTCAGATTGTGTTGTCAGAGTGTCTAGCTCATTGCTTATGCCCTTCTTGGCAGCATCAGATTGCCCTTCTGCATCTCCAACCCACTCAGAAAATTCTTTAATATCCTCTTCAAGTTTCTGAAGATCATCCAATCCAAACGTCAATCGAGTCTGTCGTTCATTGGCCTGCTTAGCAATGACATCATAGCGAGAGCGAATCTGGTCGATGCTGGATCGAAGTTGTTGTTTCTGTGTCTCTTCCAATTCATCTTCTGATTTTAGAAGATGTTGAGCTTCTTGGATTACATGCTGTACTGGTTCATTATGCTCTTCAATGTCTTTCACAAGTGCCTGATCAACAATAAAAACAAGTGAATTTTAAAAAAATAGAGATTAATTATTACAATTGTTTTATTTTTTCAGGGGATATCTGCACATTTGAAGTATTCAGTATAAGATAGTTTTTCTAGGAAAGTATTCACAGAATATACAACATGATCTTTAAAAAAATACAAAAAAATCTATATTATTAAAACTATTTATTCTATTGGGATTATTAAAACCATTATTTTTTATTATCATCATTATTATTATTATTATTCATCCATTTATCACATGAACATTCACACCTTATGTTCATCGCATTGCTGGATAAATATTTCACTTTGTTCTGGCATTGGCTGTTGTGATCCAAGACCTTCCTCTGTCAATTGAATCCATTCCAGCATATCGTCCAATGCCTTGGCATCACTGTTGAACTCTTCATCAAGCTTTGACTGCAACAAATGCAAAGAGAAGGCTACTATTAAATTACTGTTCAATTACAAATATTATATAATCACTGATCTTCGAAAAGATACATACTGTTTTCCAGACCATACCAAGTTCTATCTAAATAAACTAAAGGTTTAGTACAACCATAAGTAGTGTTTGTATTTACTATATACAGGAATTATTTGCTTTATTCTTTGCTAGAGAATTCATTTTTTTAACATAACAAGGCCAGAATAAATATTTCGTAACATTGTAAACCATTTTTGTCAATATATAATATTTCTCTTTCATACTCATTGAAGAAACAATTTTGCCACCTTTCATTACTTTCTATTTATCTTTTGTGAATAATCTGATGATGCAATTGTGCCACGACAATAATGTATTTAAAAAAAAATTAATCAACAACATTGTTAACACTAATTTAACAAACTAAAATACTGACATACAAAAGGTATTACTGTATTCTTTATTGAATACCACAACAAAAACAAAAATGTTGTTTTAAATAATAACATTTTACCTTTCGCTCATTCTGTGCATTCAGGGAGAAAAGTGCATTCTGCGTGGTATAGCACACACGCTCTGTCTCTACAAGGATCTGGTCTGAATCATTCCTAAGGTCAGTGATGAGGCTCTGTAGGTTCTGTGTTTGTTCTGGCTGAAGTCTGGTCTTGTTAACTTTAACAAATGCTTCTCCATCAGTGATAACATCTTGAACTATAGCCTTCCGTTGTTGGACATCGGATTGTACAGCCTAAAATTTAAAATGATGTCAAATCATTAAAACAAAAAACACTATTGTTTAACACAAAGGACCCATGCAATACAAATGAATTGATAAGAAATTTAAATTTATATCTTTTTTTATACTGGGAACTCGTACGGTAGCTACTGATCTACTCCAGGGCATGCAAAAACGGAAACTGATGTTGATAATGTAGTAGACAAAATATTTAAGTATTTTAAAGGCAGGTTCGGTAAAACTGCAGGTTCCTCAAAAAGGAAGTAGACATATGTACAGTAAGCAGGGGTTTAGCCTGAAAAACAAAATATGCTGTCCAAAATGGACAATCATAACAAAAACCAACCTTAAACTCTTCCAACTCCCTTGCAAGGACCTCTGTATCTGTGCTAGAAGGCATTTTCTGTTTCATCTGGCTGTCAGCTGTTGCCAGGACATCCTTAGTCTCCACCAGCTGTCCCAGAACACTGAGGTAGTCATTCATGAGATTCAGTTGGCCAGAGCGTGATGTTAGATTATCTAGCACATCATTGTAACGATCATTTATGTCTTCAACCTCACAGTTTATCATAGACTTGTCCATTGGAGAATCTTAAATACACAATAATCAATTCTAGTTTATTATAATTATGCTTTTTATTCTTTTGTGGTTATTCAATAAGTAATATACTTTGATAAAATGATATATGCTTCTTGCTTGTAAAAGTTTCATCTATAAAAGGAATCATACGCTTATCCATATATCCACATGAAATATCCGTCTGTTCAAATTAATCAGTAAACTATCAACTTCACACAATAATCAAAGAATTGAAAGTTATATAATTGTCAGTATGTTTACATACCATCAGCGAAAAATGAGGTTGAATCAAGGTCTTCGATTTCCCACTGGCTACTTTTCTTCAACAGCTTTTCAGTATCTTGCCTGGTAGAGCGTGCATGAGGCATGGCAGTAAGTGGCACCTCAGTCTCCTTGATCAAATTGTCAAGGACTGAGCCTAGCTTTGTAACCTCAGCTACCTGTGGTTGGTGTTCTTTAACCTCATTGAGTAATGGCTGAAAAAAGCAAGAAAATACTTATGTAGCTTCTAAGCTGTATACATATTTTTTTTAAGTAGATGGAAAATAAATAATGATCTTCTTGCAACAGTCAAAAAAGAAACAAACTCATGTCTCGTGTCTTAACACCTTAGGCTTATCCTATAGCACAAAGGAGCTCCTTCAACGAACGCTAAATAGGGAACGAGGACGATTGTTAGGGAGACTGTTCATACCAATGCCCTGGGTCGGACTGTTCTATTTTTTTGAAGGGGTGTTCCGTTTTGTGAACAATGGCAAATTAGTTGGTTTATCCACAAAATAGACTGGGAAATATCATTGATAAATAAAATAGTTTTATAATGTTTTAAAAATACACAAATCAATCATGATGTTGGTAGTCTATGAGTGTCATACTTACCAGGATAACCTTTACTCCCTTCTTACCCTCTCCATGATCAGTCAGATCTCTAGAGAATGAGGACTAATGTTTGGCAGACGGTTTGCATGTGGCGCCACAACTTAAGGTGATTGGTTTCTCCATCTAAGTATGTGAATTTTGATTGGGGTCCTATTTTATTTAATAGGGTGTTCCGTGTCAGGGATAAGGCCAATTAGTCAGTTTATCCAGGTAAGTGTTCACAAAATAGACTTAGATATTTACTATTACCATCAATATTAATTATTATCATAATTGTTGTCTAAATTTCCATTGAAATTTTGCACCGCTCACAACTATAACCTTCATCCATACTATTCCCATCATCAACGTCATATTGATACAAACCTCAGTTTGGGTGACTTGCATCTTCAAAGCGCTACAATCCTCAGTAACAGGTTGTAGTTGAGACACTTGCCGCTCTACATTCTCTAACCAGAAGTTTACATCATCACGAGCTGCATCATACTGCCTAGTTGCCGCTTCACGATCATCAAGTTGTTTACTCCTGAATGAAAACAAATAGGAAAGATTTAGTTAATGTTTATTAATATTGTTTTTAGGTATTTGTAAAAAAAAAAAATTAATAATTTGCATCATCTTAAAATTAAAATGCTTGCATGTTATGTGTAATCAATGAGTTTATAAGAATAAAAAATGAGTTTATAAGAAAATATATAAGAATTCACATAATTTTAGTAATGACTATCATTAGCTATTTTTGTTTTCAAACTTGTATTTTTCTGTTTGTGAATAAGGCTAATTTTAATACTATATTTTCTACACATTTTACAAAAATTACCAATAAACGATCACTGAACAATCTATCAAACTGATACATAATGGCAATAATCTTCTAAAAAAATATCTTATGACATGATATGACATTAGCTAAAGTACAGGAAAAAGTTGTGATAATATCAATTGCAAACCTTTTATCAATGGCTGTATTAAGATGCTTCCAGTTATCATCTACATTCTGGAGAACACTGTTAACATATGATGTGTCGCATGACTTTGGATGCTGCATCATCTCTTCACCAAGCAGATGGATTTGAGAAATCTTGGGCTTGTTGGCATCTCGTTGCCTTGTTGCATCCTGACAAAGAAAGGATTGTATCAGTTGTAACTTGTGAAGATTTTACTGTTGATGCTTTTTAATAACAGTATACAAAATCAATATTTTCTACATGGACAGAAATTTATCAATTACTACATGTTAGTGCAGGGTCTACCTAAAAATCTTATATACAGTAACTCACCATCAGCTGATCCCTGATGTCTGGAAGGTTTGATGCCATGAAGTCTTTGGATTCCAAAGTGGTAAGTGTTGGAAGTTCCCAATCTTCAACCTCTTCCACCACACGTTCAAACTCTTTCAGCTTTTCCGTCAAGCTAAAGAGATCCATACCATGTTTCTGTGTTGTATTCTCCACTTCAATAAAGCGAGCTTTGACATTTTCAAGTTTTGATCGTATCAAACCAGCTGAGACAGGGTCACTGCTCTCAGTCAGTTGAACTGCTGACTTTGTGATGGCTTCAAGAATTGGACGCTGGCTTTCAATATCGGACTGCAGAACCTACAAAATGATTATTCAATCATGAATTGCCAATGAATTTTTTAATTGTAGTAGCATTTTATTGTATACATCAGTGCAATCAGACTTTTAACAGGTAAAGTAATCAAAGTGACTCTACACACAGTTGTATAGCCAAACACTGAATATGGTGATCAGGATTCTGATATTCCAATTCAGTATACTATAGTAAGACACAAGTAGAATAAAATGTTTTTGTTTTATTCAATCTAAATTTAATGACCTAACACAATTTAAGCATTTTCTTGATATATGTATTTAATTTTAGTTTTTGCATTAATATATAATCAGACAAACCTTGCACTGTTGTTGATTTTCAGTTAATGGATCTTTTCTAAGCTTGATGACAGTTCCTTTGTCCATGTGCTGCACACGACGGTCAGCATCATCCAGCCACTTGACCAAATTCTCCAGACCATCTTGAACCGTACCAACATCAACTGATGCCTTCTGGAGGTTCTTTAAGCGGTCATTGAGGGAGATCTTCAGCTTTTGATAGCGATCTTCAGCGTCATCTGTTTCATGGAATGCAATTAATCAAGATTATTATATTCTTAAAATTAATACAATTAGGAGATATCAAATTATCTTCAAGGATTATAGTCAGGTTTCTAATGATATGCTTACCAAGTTCCCTGTTAGTATCTGCTCTCAAATCAGGATGTGCTGCCATAAGTTCTTGGCCAGCATCCTTTAATCGATCCATTTCCACAGCATACAACACGACTGCATCCAGAAAGCTCTGCAAGCAAATTATTTCAATGTAAATAAGCTGATAGACAAACAAGCAGAAATCTTTGTAAATGTTAATTCTTTCACAAAGATATTTGATTTCTGAATAATAAGAATAGAATGATATGCAAATCTTATGCTATGGCATTTCTGCAAAATTTTGATTGGGAACCCAATCAAAATTCACATGCTTTGATGGAGAAACCAATCACCTTAAGTTGATCAATCTGCTGATTCACTTGGCTTGGCTCTGCTCCAACTGGCTCATTCAAGATCTTTTGAAGGGTTCCTTCAGACTCCGTCAACCAGTTGTCAACTGACTTTTTCTTGTTGTTGTAATTCTGGAGCTTATCAAGCACATCGCTAAGCTTCATATTAAACTGAATGCTACTAGATTTCAATGATTGGTAGCGGGTATTCAGGTTCTGCATGGTGCTGGTGACAATAGTGCTTTGAGGAGCTTCTTTGAAAGTATGGTTGAAGTCAATGGGCATTGCCGCAGTACGGAACTCTGCCAAGTCTTTTCGGTATTCCTGGAAAAATGATAGTGATAATTAATATGTAGTAACTTTATGTAAGCCTATCCAAGCTTTTTCAGTCAGCATCCATGTACAGTACTGTATAACTTCAAGTTCATTAAACTTGAAAGTAGGATAATTAAGTTTGGTTGCACTATCTGTTTTTATATTTTAGTATTTTTAGACTGTGTACTACCTTTGCATTTGTAATAAGTTTCTGTCCAGTGATATTAATGAACTTTAGTTCGCCTTTCTGATCCTTGACATCTTCAACAAGTGCCCTTTGTTGATCTATTTGCTTTTTGACTGCCTCAACCTCCTTCTCTATTAGTTTCTGAGCTTTACTTTGTTTCTCTTCTGCAGAGCTGAGCCATGTCTCAAAGTCATTGGTCTCTTCGTCAAACTTCTTCAGGTCATCATCAGCAAACATTAGCTTGTTCTGTCTGTTTTGTGACTCAGTGCTAACACGGTGGTACCTGCTACGTAGGTTCATCTGAATCTCTTGCAGATTTGCGCAGTCGGGGCCTGGAATTTGTTGGGAGTTTTGCTCAATAAGTTGTCCGGTTGTCTGCACAGCATGAATCAAAGGTTCATGATGGGCTTGAATGTCATTATATATAGCCTAAAAGAGGAGAAAAAAGAGTATTCAATCATGTGGTAATTCAATGGAAGATAATGTACGAAAAATATGTCATATAAGTAAATGAATAAAATATTTGAACTAACTGTATGTTCCTGGATCTGGTCATCCAACTCTCTTATTTTTTCACTTTGTGGCTGCTCACTAGCAAGTGCACTTTCCATCTTAGTAACCCAATCAAGGAGATCAACCATTGACTGATTAGCTTGTTTGCATCGAGCATCAAGAGAGGTCTGATAAGAAATAAAAATATCTAACTTTTAGTAATGGATGACTACCTGTGGTAATGATAGAAAAATAGATATCAACCTTTCTTTATTCTGTAAACTCATTTACTGTGATAAATTTTTCTTCCTTAAGCTCAATAAAATAACTTAAATGTAGTAAATTCATTAAAAAAAATCGTACAGAGATGTGAACAGTACTGTAGTTTCAACATACTGGAAGATCATCTTCATTCTCATTCATATTTTCTTCATAATGTACTACTTATTAAATAGCCAAAAAAAAAGCATTACCATAGCCTGCTGTTCTGCTTCAAGGTTCCTAAGTCTTTGTTCTTCTGCAGCAAGGGTCATCCTAGCTTTGGCAACAAGCTCTGCATATGCCTTTCTAAGGTCTGTGATCAATTTCTGAAGATTTGATCGGAGATCAGGTGTCAAACGTCCTCCATACACTTTTTCAAAGTTCTCCAAAGAGTGGATGACTTTAGAGACAGGATCATTGTGAGCAAAGATGTCATCACAGAGATTCTAAAAAAAAGGCAAAAAACGATGTTATATAAAATCCTAATTCCTTTAAAAAATACTGTTAAAACACAATAATTATGAGAACAATAAAAAAATTAAATGCAGTTTTAGAAATAATAGTCAATATTTGAAATTGTGGTTTTGTGTGTGCTTACCTTGAATGTTGCTATTTCTCTAACCAATGTGTCAACATCTTTGCTAACTGGTCTCTCCTCCTCCAGCTTTGCATCTGTGACAGTGGTCCAACTGAGGAGATCACTGCCTGCAGTTGATGTTTCAACATACTGCGAGATCATCTCCAAGTCCTCAATGTGGAAACTGAAGTTCTTACTCAGAGCAATGTAACGTTCATTCAACTCTTGGGCCTCGATCAGTACATCAGAATCACCTATTTAAGAAACATAAAATATTTAAAAACTGAAATTTATCTAAACTAATAATTAAAAAGTGGTCAATTAGCACTATTATTACTATTGATTTATACTAATAAGATATTTTAGAACAAATACCATATCTGAAATAATTGGTTCCTAGTTTCTTACCTTCTTCAATAAAACTGTAATCCAGAATGGATTGCTTTGGCTTCTTAATAACTGGTTCATCCGCTGAACGTGCTGTTTCAACCAGTAGGGACCTCTGCCTTGGTCTTGACGTCAAAGGTTTTTCAAGAGCATTTAGCAAGCGGCTGTAGTTCTGTGCAACACTGGTGACATCATCAACTTTTGGTTTGTAGTCAATGATCTCCTTATTCAGTGGCTATTTAGAGAAACCACAATAGAAAAATCAGTACAATCACAGCAAAAAATAAATGAACAGAAGAACAAAAACATTAGCATAGATATACATCATGCTGGCATGGACAAATCTATTTGTTTTTGAAGGGGTGTTCTAGTTAAGAAAACAATAACATTTCAATGCACATATTGCCCCTGGTCATACACCATGTGTAATGCAGTCTCTTTTACTCTGTGGAGAACATTCCTGATCATGCAGTGTTTGATGTTGAAATACTTGTTGTTTTGTATTGTGAAGAATAAAATAGACTTTAGTTAAGGGGACACATGTTCCAATATAACATATATTACCTAGCATGGCCACTTACTTTGACAACTGAAAGCTCATGTTGGAGAGCTCTGGAATCATGAGTAATGACTGGTAGCTGGGTAAAGCGACGTTCCATAGTGCCTAACCATTTCGTCACATCATCCACCTTAACTTCATGTTTCTCCTTTATGTCTTTAAGTTCTGTGTATTGGGCATTTCTAAGGCACAAAATAGTGAAAACTTCTATTTGTGTATATTCTCCAAAAAATTTCAAACTATATGATTATCTATTAATACATCATTTTTATAATGATACGTTGACTTAATTGAACATATTTTGCTAATCAAATTTCTACAGATAAGTAGAACAGGTGATTGATATGAGGACCACATTAAACAAAAAAAAAACCGAAATACTATAACATCTTAATACAAACTTAAATACATTTTTTCATTCCTACCTTGTGTCTAGCATCTCATCCAAGGTTCTCCAGTTTCCTTCCATGTTGTTTGTGACAGCATTTACATAAGAAAAGTCTTTTGCGGTTCCTTGCTGGATGATCTCCTCACCAATCTTACGAATTTTGTCCACTTGGACTTGGTTCTTTGCTTGTTTCTTTGTAATGTCCTAAAGAATACATATAATAAAAATATATTTATTTATATATTATACATTATAAGCATAAAAACAATTTATACTTGTATACAAACAAAACATTACAATGAAACTAAGATGTACAACAACTCATTCAACTTAAAACCAAGTGCAAGAAGATTTATGATTATAAATTGACAACAAATGAAATCATAAAACAACTATTACTCATTTTAAATAATTACAAATACTTATCAATCAATATAAAATAATAAATAAAAAAAATAGAAATAAAGTAAGATTTTCAAAAAATACATCATTTAAAATAGATACATTTTCTTACCTGAAGCTTTTGGTTTATTTGTGGCAATTCTTGACTCATGAACTCTTTAGATTCCAAGATGTCAATGGTTGGCAGTACCCAATCTTCTAGTTCATCCACTTCCTTCTCAAAGCCTTCAAGACCATCAAGAAGGGTCTGCCAGGAATCTCCAATGACATGTGAAGTGTTCTTTAAGTCTGTGTATTTTGTGTTGATAGTGTCAAGTTTTTTACACAATGTAGCAGCAACCTCTGGCTCACAGTTCTGCAAGAATTCTGTTGTAGACTTGTTAATGGTATCAATGCTTGGTGCATAGCTTTCCAGGCTTCTTTGAAGAACCTTAAAGTGAGAAAATTATTGACAATTATTAAAATTAATCAAATATTTTCTAGATATCATGAGTATTACAAACTTGCATGCTCTCTAGAAATGATTCTTGAACCTCAGCTAACAAAAAATGCTCACTGACTACTAACCAGTTGTTCATTTACACTTTCCAACAGTGGCTCCTTCCTTGCCACAATAACAGTACCAGTTTCCAAGCGCTGAACTTTCTTCTCTGTCATGTCTAGCCAGTTGAGGATTCCATCAAGACCTTCATTCATGCCAGTTATGCCAATCAACTTCCTATTTAGGATGTCAGAGCGCTCTGCAATCTGACCCAGAAGTTTGTTGTACTTCTCCTGAACTGTGTCTGCATAACAAAATAATAACATCCAGAATGCATCATGATGTTCTTTTCCAAGTATATAGTGTATCTGGGCTGAAACACAATTAGGTTTAACAGACAGATCATGGTAATTATAATTCATATACCATATATTAATGATTTGTGTTACATTTTTTGAAGTAAATAATTGATAATAAAAAAACACCATCAATTAAGTCTCACCAATAGTTCTTTCAACATCAATGCGAAGTTCAGGGTGAGCATCTGACAGATCTTTCCCAGCATCCCTCACATGCTGGACGTCCTTGGCATGACTGACAACATTTTCGTGAAATGACTAAAGAAAGAGTGAAAATGAGATTTCACACATCAGATTTAGTTTTAACAGTAGAATTGATTAACTGATTAGTTTAATTGACAGTACGTAACTTTCATTTTTAAGCAATTTAATAAACTTACTGTCAACCGATCTATTTGCTTCTGAACAAAGAAGGCATCGACACCAATCGACTCCTTCAGGATTCTATCCAGGGTTTCATATGCTGACTGCAACCAGCCCATGATGTTTTCGACTGCATCTTTGTACTTCTGCAGCAGTTGCAGAAGATCACTAAGACTGTTAAAGTGACTGCTGCAGGTTCCAGTTAATTGCTCATATTGAGAGTTCAATTCATTCAGCTTATCTTTAAGCACACTTGGTCTCAATGGCTCATAATAACTTGATCTCTTGCTGAGACGTGGCAAAACTTTTGAGCGGAACTCCGCGATGCCCTCTTTATAATCATCACTCGCCTTGAAGAACTTTTGTGCAGATATGTTCAGAATCCGCAGATCACCTTTATGTCCAAAGACATCTTCATTGAATGATTTCAGATGACGGACCTGCTTCCGGAGTGTCTCTGTGTCACAGCCAATCTCCTGGAGGAAAGTCTGCATTGTAGCTTCTGCTTCCAAAAGCCACTTCTCAAAAGAGTCAAGTTCTGGCTCCAAGTTAGTGAGCTCATCTAAAGCTGCTATATGTTTCTTCATCCGTGATTCTGACTCCACCGTTAGGCGGTTGTATCGATCACAGAGGCTGACCTGACCATTTGTAAGTTTGCTCTGGAGGTCCTCAGAAAGGCGTTCTTTGTTTGCTTCTAGAAATTGAGTGGTGTTGTGTGCACAGAGCAAAACAGGTTGTTGGTGGCTCAGAATATCATCATAATGGATCTAAACAAAATTTATGAACAACTTTAAAATAATCTAAATGTAAGCAAAAACTAATTTTTGAATCATAGTATTACAATTATAATATACCATTTTAAAAATTAGTATCTATCTATGACAGCAACAGTTTACATTAATCTCCTTTACCTTGTGTTCTTTGGTTTGCTTGGTAAGCTCATTGACCTCTTCCTCCATTAGCTGCTGTTCTGCAAAAACTTGTTCCTTCTCACTTACCCAGTCTTGTAGTTTCACCAGACCATCAGTTGCCAGTTGGGATTCTCGTTCTAAAGTCATCTGACACAACCAAAATAAAGACATTAAATTTCAATACTTGAAAAACGTATTACAAGAATCTATGTTAGTGCAGTTGATAAAGATGTCAATGATGATGGAATTTAACAGAATCATGATGGTGAAAATAGTGATGTTAAAATGGTCAAACAAATTGTAATTTACCATAATGATGTAAATATTTTAATTATAATAATGATTAAGGGACAAAGGTATAAAATTAAGTCTATCTGCTTACAAAAAGGTACAGAAATAATCAATGCAAGTTTATCATACACCATAATGGTAGATATATATATATATTTCCCTTTTGATGTAAGAACTTAACTATTTAAGTCAAACTCATGCAAGTTATCAACATCATTGTACCTCACAAACTAGAAGCAAATAAAATTTTGCTGCTGATAAAGATATGGTAGGTTACAACATCACTACACACAACAACTTCATAGAAGTGCTAATTAGGTGTATTCATGAAAATAAGGAAGGAGTTAAGGTTAGCAATGGTCAGGAATGGTCCTACTGACCTGCTGTGAAAAAAATATTAAATTAAAAAAAGTTAGAGTTCGGTTATCCATCACTGATGCATGATCCCACACACTGTCGTTGAATGTAGATATGTACACATTATGTAGAACACCTCATCAGCACATCAATACATAATTATATTATCAATAATAACTTTATGAATATCTGTTGCTTCCAAATGACAAAATTAGATGTGAGTTTGTTAAAGGCAATTTCTAAATTGGACAAAAACTCTTGGGTAAAAATATTCTGTTACAATTAAAAAAAGACAGCTCAGCTAGCTGATTTTTCAAACTGACACACTATCCTTTAAGCACTTAAAAGGGGAAAAACAGCCTTATTAAAGTGTTAGACCAATATGACATGTTGAAATTTGTTGACAACCATGTGAATGAAAGGAGTGTGTTAAGGAACATGTTAATTGTGTTTACAACTTACATGTAGAAGCTGCTTCTGCAAAAGGGAATACGTAAATTCAATAATAAATCCATCTATATATTGTAGACATTTCTTTTTTTTTTTTTTACTATGGTGCTGTAATCCACATACATGGCTCAATAAATCCATATCTATATATTGTAACTATTTTTTTTTTTACTATGGTGCTGTAATCCACACACATGGCCTCACATTGTTTTCGGTGTTATTCAAAATGGATCAAAATCTTTGGCAGGCCGGAGGTTGAATAACAGGGCACTAAGTTCATTCCATTTATTCATTTATTCATTGGCAAAATAGACTCCCTTATTCTCAACTGGTGAAATTCGGAAAAGAGTACACTGGAATTATAAAGTTACCTTGCTTGTTTGCTCCTTCTTCAACTTTTTGAGCATCGTTTTCAAACCCTTCAAATGGTCTAGTGACAACACTATCAAGTTCTCATAGTATTCTCTTAGTTCATCCAGACATTTCTGCATCTCTTCTTCTTGCTCAGGTGTCAACTTGTTTTGGTTGTCTCGCAAAAATTGATCACAGTTTTGAAGAACTTCAAGAATCTCAGACCTTCTACTCTGAAGCTGAATGTGCAGTGCCTAGAAATTAGACAAGAAAATGAAATAAGATTTGTTTATAAACCGTTACCCTAACTCTGACCTTACAACACATTTTGTAGAATTTACTGAAAACAGTCTCTATAATAATAATAATGTCAATAAAAAAAACAACCCAATATTCATTAAACATTGAACAAACCTCTTGTTCTGCAATGACATTCTCCAAAGTGGCAACATCAGTGATAGGCTGTTTCTCTCCAATGAACTTGGCTTTGATGGGTCGAGACCAGTCCAGGAGCTCTTGTAAGTCTGCAAGGTGTTCTTGGTAAAGTGTTATTACCTGTATGAGGTCTTGGATGACTTCTTCTCGTTCTGTGATTCGTTGCAGAAGATCTTGGTAAAGTTTACGCAGGACTTTCACATCATGCATTAATTCAGTATCTATAACAAAATATGCAATCACTTTTCATATGTTGTATGAACATTGTAGAGAACTTTGATACACATTTTACCTATTACATAATTAGGTTGTTCTTTGTCTTTGTAAGAATTAAAATACATTTATTATGTGAAGAATTATTCCTTCATTTTTATAAATAATTTGTTCAAAGCATAGTCCTATTCAGCTCATGCAAGTCAGCTAATGCTTATACCATACCTTCAGATACTTGGAATGTTTGCTGGATATCAACAACTCGTCTCTGCACTGGCATATGGTCACCTGGCCTGAGTGCTACATGAGTTGATTTGCGTCGATTGGTAACAATTGTCTCTGTAGCCTGGATGAGGCTGTCTAAAGTCTTTGCCATCTCATAGATCTCATCATACTTTGGCTTGAAGCTTGCAACCTCTTTTCTCATGGGCTTAAAGGGTAAACATTTATATCACAAAATCTAGTAACTTCAGATAGATATGTAGTCAGTACTGAATAAGGTTACAAATCCATATTAAATGAAGAGAACACTTTGTATTTAAATAGAGTTATGATCAAGTGGAGAAGCCTAAAATTAATATAGATAATATATATATAGTATAGATATATATATAATATAGATAAAAATATATTATAGATAACAACAGCTATTATCATAACAAATATATAGCAGGTGAAAATATTTTTAAATGGGTTACCTTCATTTGTTCAAGTTGTGATTTTAGCTGGTCAAGATCTCGAACAAGAGGAGGCAGCTGGTCAACCTTAGCCAGAGTGCTATCGTGCCACATACTCACCACTCGTACAGCATTCTTGTACTTATCGGTCAGTTTTTTACGAGTAGTTAGGTAGTCAGTCCTGATTTAGAATAAATGGAAATAGGTATAAGTGATACATACATTACTGTATTATAATAGAGTGGCAGTATTTTGGAAGGAAGTGACGGCAAATGAAGAAAAGGGTGGCAGGTTGGCATGTTACAGAAATAGTGTGCTGGAGAGTGTTTCTGTTAAATTGCTGTTTTTTTTTTTTTTTTTTAAGTGGGGGGATTTTTGAAAGGGGTATATCTTTTGTTTAGTAATGGCTATGTCCAGGTTTAGTAACATTAGTTATATATTTACTTTTGTTTTTTAGCACTTTCAAAAGACAGAGAAAGAAGCTCATTACTATTATCAAGAACAAAGAAAATGCTGGAGAGTCTGAAGAGGGATACACTAGCAAAACCGACAAAATGAAGCTTGGCACAAGACCAAGCAGCATGGCCAATGTATTACTGTGCAATAGAAAACAAGGTCTGCCTCTGGCAGAATGATATTAATGATGAAGTAGTATATCTAAAATCTTGTTTCTTCTTTTCGTGCACTTCTTAAAATTTGTAAGTTAAGCATATCAATATTTTATTTCTGATAAAAAATTTAGTTATTTTGAAATGGTTTTTTTGAGTTTCATACTTACAATCTTCCCAATGCATCCTCCATTGTCTGCCAATTGCGATCAACATTTTTCAGGAGGTCAATAACGAAAGATGGGTCATGCGCCCTCACATGGTTGATGAGTTCATCAGCAATCTTCTTGATTTCTCGATATTCTGGTGCATGTTCTTTTATCTCCTCATTAACCTCCTGAAATTTCATAAAACCATAAATCGTAAAACTATTTTATAAGTATAAGTTTTTTCTTACTTGTTCTTTCTAACAGGATATATTAAAAACAACTCAACTTCCTAAAGTTTCATAAGTACACCAATCAGTGGTGGTGAGCTTAGTTATTCTATGAGTGCAATACTTATTCATAAGCCAGACATACACATGATGCTCATTATGAGGTTTACGGACTGGAACTTATCGTCAGGTCAACGCAAGCAGACCTCGTATTGCGTCCCCAGGTCAGACGACCGGCACATAGGACACTCCAAGTGACAATCCAACTTATGGCTAGGCCTAGGCCCACCACAAACAGAACAGGAAGACTTTCGGGAAGACATAGGCTTCAACGTTATAAATCAACGCAACAACGAAAGCACATGGCTATTGTTTCACTAGGTAAGTAAGACTTTTACCATACTCCCTCAAAGTGAAAGGAAATTTGAGGCTTGTTACATAACGTTAATGCGTTACACACGCCTGGAGTTAGACGATTCCATTATTTTTCACAGGTAAGTTACATTAGGAATCTGGCTCATACCGGTTCATCCAATCGTGTATTCACGAGATACACGATACACACTTGATGCTCATTATGAGGTTTACGGACTGGATTTTTTTGGTTGTTAGAACAAATTCTGTCACTTGGCAAGAATTTAATCCAAAACCCTGGGCATTGAAAGGCAAGCATTTGAACAATCAAAATACGGGTCTACTACTGATGTTTGTTAGGCTATTAGTGAAAAAGATACAATAAAATACACAAATTAATGGTGTACTGGATGAAATTTAGGTATTTCCAATCTTCCACAGCCCACAGCAAACAGAAAAAACAGCGAAATAGCATGTGCTAGCATAAATGATATGTAAGATGGTTCTCAAATGGAAAAATTTTTAAATACCTGTAAAACTACTTCGATTTCTTGAACAGGTTGCTTCTTAAGGTCTCGTGATTCCAGTGCATCCATCACCGGGAACATCCACTCTTCCAATTGGTCAATCTTTTCCATCAGACCTGTTAGCTTTGCCAACATTTTCTGAAAATCATCAGTGTAGTAGTCCAAGGTGGATGTGTACTTCTTGTAGCGGGCAGTGACCTCATTGATGCGGCTCTGCAATTTATGTGCCATTGCTGGAGGGCTTGATTGAAGCATGGTTGACGTCTTATTGGTGATGGCCTCAATAATTGGTCGATGTGACTGAAGTTCACCCTGTAACATCTGCCGAATAGAAGCATATTTGAGTAAAAACCTAGAATAAATTAAAGCTCAAATGCCTTAATGTCACACGTCTGGAAGAAACTGCAATAAGAAAGGCAGTCTTTTTTTACCTTATTTGCAAACTAATTAATTGAACTGTTGTAATGTGAACACTACTATAATTCTTTTTAATTTCCTATCCATTTTTAACTCCAATGTCTTACCTTGACCTGCTGGAGCTGTTCCATGATAGGATCAAGACGCACCACAACTTTTGATTGGTCCAATTTCATCAACCGCCCTTCAAAATCATCCAACCACTGACTAGTGCTGTCCAAGCTGTCTTGTGTGTTCGTCAAATCTGTGATTGCTTTTTGAAGCTGCTGACTCCTATCATTTACCTTTGTCCCAATGTCATCATACTTTTGAGATAGATTTTCTGAAAAAAGTGAAAGCAAATAATTTATGAGTTTCTAATCACTGAATGTAACTAGTCACTCTCTGGTTGTGTGCTTTTATCCATACAGCAGCAGAGCACAGCTTGATAAACTGTCATTAATTTATATTTTATGTTTATGTGTTCAATACGTTGATTTGTTTGTTAAATCAACTTACCAACTGTCTTTTGAAAGGTTGGTTTCAGTTCAGGCTGAGATTCACAAAGCTGTACACTGATGGATTTAATCTGCTGTATATCTTTCAAATGGAGATGAACATCATCTTGAACAATCTGCAAACAAATAAGTAAACTGTATCTCACAAATTCACATCATAGAGTAAATGTAGACAAATACACTGCACCACCGATTATATTCCTTATATATTTATGTGGAGACAGCATGCATATACTGCCTTGCCCAAGAACACAAGCAAGTGACTAGCCTGAGAGTTGAGCCCCTAAGTGGCACAGCCATACTCCTGTGCTATTTTGCTTCCATATGATTATGCAAGTCCTGAAGATTATGCATGTATTGAGTATTTATAGAGAAATGCCACAAGGAACGCTAATATGTTAAGAAGTAACAACTATCCAATTTATAATGGCTGCATTGAGCTTACCCTATTCTTGGACATTTGTTCCTGCACTGAAGCAACATCACTGCCAATTTCTTCTGTCACCATTCTCGTTGTTGCCACAGTACGCTCTTCAATCCAGTTGGTAAATTCCTCAGTGGTTGTATGCCATCGCTCATGGAGGCTGAGGATATTTGCTAGTTTCTCTGTGTGTTCAATGCACAACATTTTTAGTTGTTCGTACCTCTTATTTGTGTCATTGATTTTCTCTCGTATTATGTTCGCTTCAGGAGGTTCGATAAATTGACGCAACTGTTCCTTTGTAAGTGTCTTTTTGCGGAAATCAGTTAGCTGGTTTTTGTATTGCTGTTTAAAGGAAGAAATTAAATTTGGTTGCATATTATAAATCTTTAGAAAGCACAGTAATATAGTAACTAATTATTACTTGAATATTATTATTACATGAAGCAGATCCTTTTACAACATGCTTTTAGCATCAGGTTCATACAGAATTGTGAGCCCATTTAAATACAACAGGCAACAATACAAAATTATTCATATGAATTTCAATGTCTGATTGATTGGTAGATTGACAGATTGATTGACTAACTTACTGATATGTACATTTTAAAATGCCTGTAAAATTCTGAGAACGTTTGGTGAGGGGCACCAATCTTAACTCAACAAACACTTTTCATAAACTTACCTCTCCAGAATTGATGAACTTAGATCCAAAGATATTCAGAAATTTGAGTTCGACAGCATGGGAAACAATCTCCTCATTGAATTCCTGAACCTTTGTCATCTGGTGCCTTAAGGAATCACGATCCTTAGCAATGTTGTGAAGGAGAGCATCGAGTGTTCTGTCAGCTGATGTCAGCCATATTTCAAAGGAAGAATTCTCTTGGTCGAACTTCTGAAGTTCCTCGAGACCAACAGAGAGCTGGGTCATGCGCCAATCACTCTCAGTGTAAAGCTGTTCATAACGCTCCTAGTAATGCAAAGGAATGCATAATTAAATAATTAGCAGGTACTGTCATAATAAGTGAATATTATTATGATTTGACATATTAACTGCTTTGAAAGGGGATGCGCTTGAAGGTACATGGAACTTAATATTTAGGTAGTATCAAGTATCTTACACTAGTACTCTATAAAGTATCATTGATTGAATGTGATGCTGCAAGTGATAAAAAAAAATGCACTGTTTTTGGTGAACCTTTCTTTATGATGCCTACCTTCAGCTCCTGTGCAGTACTTCTGATGTTGCCCTTGTTAGCATCACTCAGTTTATCATGCCTACTCTCAATGAGGAATTGGGCATTGTGAACTGCTATCATCACTGGCTCCTGTTGGGCACGAATCTCACTGTGTATAGCCTAAAATGATAATATATGAGAATTATAAAGGGTTAAATTAGTTATTGCTTATATTGTATAAATGTTATTATATTCTTCTCCTATTTAAGCATGCACAAATAGTAGTTTTTATATTTTTTGCATAAATTCTTAAATCAGCTAGAAACCAATTTTAACTCTTTTGAGATAATTCAGCATAAACTAAATTAAGTTTGATGTGTACTTCATTTAATTGTGCAAAGATGGTGTGTGAGCAAGGAGAATTTCTCCATAAATCTATCAGTTATAATCCATACAGAAATGATTTATAATGTTGCTAATAAATAAGCAAACAATACCCAGCTAGAAACCAATTTAAACATTTATATATTAAAAAAGTACAGATTTTTTATAGTTTCATTTATAGCATAATCAATTTATAGAATTATAGAATATGTATACCTCTGTGATCATTTATAATATTATACTGATATTGATTGATATTGTTTTTTCCAAATAAAAATTATTATTATTAAAGATCATTAAAATGTAGATTAATTCTGCATTGTCATTATATGTTGCTTGGTTACACATACCCTATGTTCTTGCTCTTGCGCTCTCAGTTGTTGAAGATCTTCCTTCATTGGTAGTTCCTCCCCCAATCTACTTTCGACTGACACTATCCACTCCTTCAAGTCCTTCATTTTAGAGCCTTTGTCCTTCACATCAGACAGTAAGTTCAGCTAAAATAGTATTTGAAAGCATTTATTTGTATTTACAATCATAAGATTAATTAAGTTGATGTTACAATGGTGATTGTTTAAATTGTTGATGAAGATATTAGACCAGATGATGTTATTAAACATAATATAAGAATGGAAATCTTCTCACACAAATCCCCATAGGCTATGTTCTCACACAGCAGCTAAGGGTTAGCAGGACCGGATCCTACTAACCGTTAGCTGCCGTGCGTCCATGCGAGAAAATCTCGATCCGGATACAAACAATATGATGATCGAATCACTGGCCAATAAGAAACTAGAAATTGTAAACGCGTAGGTGTGATTGGTTGATGATAGAAACGCCCTCAACTTGCTAACCGTTAGCTCTTGCTAACCGTTAACGGTATCCGGATACCGCTAACGGTTAGCGCTAACCGATCAGTTGTCTCACGCAGGTGTTAACGGTTAGCGCTAACGGTTAGCTCCCGATCCGGATACTAGGGCTCTCGTGAGAACCAGGCTATAGAGTACCACAGTCATGTCGTCGTCATGGTACCGTTCATTATGTCTGAATGACTGCATAGGCTTTGTGGAATAGGCATTTTAAAATCTAATATTTTACCATCAAAATGTACTAAAAACACAAAAGCTGGCATTATATTAGTTATCAAACACACATTTAATCATCAATTAAAATTTAAAAAGAAAAAGTAAGATACAACATCTTAATAATTACATTAGAAATTGGGATCAATGGTTTGTTAGTGGCAAAAATGGCGTCGGGTTGAACGCATTTTGCAACGATAGCAACATCATGCGGTATCGTGACGTAACACTGTAGTACTCTATAGCCAACTGGCAACAGTCATCATATCTAGTTAAGTATTTACAAAATAGAAAAGGATGTTGTTGGAGATGATTTTGATTCATCAATGTCATTCTTATTGTTATAGACGATGAGGATAACTATGACATTGATGAATCAAAGACCTACCTGATCTTCCATACTCCTCAGCCAATCTTGTGTCTTCAGATTAGCCTGATCAACATGTGACCTGAGGTCATACACGCCAGTCTGCAGCACATCTTGCTGGTCAGATGTTAAACGATCTTTCTTCTGTCGCAGTAACGTCTCTGCCTCTTTCAGAACTTCATCAGAGAGTGGTTTATTATTGATCAAGTCTCGTTGAATTCCCTTCATGTATCAAAGACAATAACAAATTAAAAATTAATGAAAAATAATAACTGAATGTTACTTTAAAATCCTCCATTTTGTATGATTGGCTAAGCATGATGGTACACATTCAGAGTGCAAGCTATGAAACTTAATATAAACACAAATCTAACCTACAACAATAATCTCACCTTCATATTTTCTAGCTGTACTTGCAGTGTTTGATAGTCCATACTGATTGGTTCGTGGTTGTCAAGAGTTGTTTCTACGGCAACCACCCAATCGATCTGTTCCTGCAATGAATTGAGTTGATCGCCCTGCAACTTGGACATGTTGAGAAACGCATCAAGCTCCTCGTATCGAACACCTAACTGACTCCCTAAGCTGTTGTACCGGTCCACAACACCATTCACAACTTTCTCTGATGCAGTTGAGTCTGTAGTTAAAGTAAAAATCGATTTATGAATAAAAACAATGCTGGAAAACATATGTAGTAGAAAAATACCTCATTGTATTGTTAATATTTATTAGCTCAAAATAGGTGATAATTAAGATATTAAATGAAAAAATTACCTTCATCAAAAGAGGAATATCGTTTTGCAGCAAAAGAAAGTGGCTTCCCACTGACGTTGGTCCATTCCATAGGATCTACTGACAAGCTTGATCGGCACATTGTGTTTCGTAGGGGTGTGGACAGGCTTTGGCACACATAATCTAACTTATTTCCAAGGTCTTTAACTTCCTCGACATCACAACGTGCAGAATCATATTCCTTCTTCAGAGGCTGTTGAAAAAGAATGTGATAAAATATATTTTAGGTATCCTCTATAAAAGGTAATAAATTAAGACAATTTGTTAGTCATTTTACTTTAATTTCATCGGATACATTTTTTTTTTCTTTTTAGAATATAATGCATGGAAAGGTTCATGAATTACAAAGACATGCATTGTGAACTTATAGTCTACAAAGAATCCAAGCAAAAGAAAAATTAAGAGAGGAGAGGTTAAGTTTGTTAAAGGTATCTGAATGCACTGAGCTTAAAAGAAGAAGGAAACTAAGTGTATTATATTTATTATGAATAAAAATTTCAAAATAAATCAAATAATTGAATTTTATTGACACATACCTCCAGCTGTTGCATCTGTATCTGTATTGTATCTTTATCACGTGATATTGGTTTCAACGTCTGGACTTTATCAAACATCGTGTTCAACCACAGCGTTACTTTTTTCACATGATTCTGGAATGCTCTGGTTGCAATCTCACGCTCTGTGTACTGCTTTTGTCTGCACGATAAATAGTTTTGATAACTTTAGTCAATGTGATTTTATTCCATTCATTAACTACATTCAAAAGGTAATTATATTTTTTTTCATGTAAAAATTTGCAAATACCCTACGCTGGCCTGTAGCAAGGTTTTCAATCAAAAAGTTAAATAAATTTGAGTCAGGCACTGGTCATAGGGCTTGTAGTCTTAGTAGTAGTAGTTTTTTATTGTCTCTCTTCAATCAAGAGTATGAGTAGAAATATGTGAATAATTTTGGGCCATGGAATATGTCTGCAGCTGAATTAACTGCATGAATAAGGGAATGAGGACGATTGTTAAGGAGACTGTTCATACATGCCGCCCTGGCTCTGACTGTTTTATTTTTTTTTTAAGGGGGTTCCATTTTAAGAACAATGGCAATTTGTCGGGTAATCCTAGTAAGTGTTATTGACAATGCATGTTCATTAAATATGTGAAAGTAACTTATCCTTATACATCTGCAGTATAATTTTCTTAAACATTTATAGAATTTTGAATGTCATATACCACAACCAATCCATATGATTAGAAACATATCTGCAAAGGGTTTCCAAAGGATAAACACAATTATTTGGTTCTAAAAGTTTGTTTCATTAGGATACACAAGTGCCATTATCCTAAAGCCCTACATATTAAACAAATCAGTAGTGATGTTGTTAGTCTATGAGTGAGCTAGGCCTCCTAGGCCCACCGCACATCGAGCAAGTAGGCTTCCACGCGGGCATGGCGACACACTGCACTTTACGACTCTAGCCGAGTCCATTATTTTTCTTTTATGCTCGAGAGGTAAGTTTCAAAGGAAACTTAGGCATTTATCGGTTTATCCAGGTAAGTATTCACAAAGTAGACTTTGAATCAATGTATAAAATAGGAAAAAGAATGATGATAAGATATTCATTACAGTGGAATTTTTTATTTTTATTATTTTTTTTTTTTTTTTTGGAAATGTAAACAGATTTAGGATGTATAAAGAAAATCTGGTCAAAAAGCATTTCCACAAAGACAGCACCTTGCACAAATTGTTCAACAAGAACAACGTAAAAGTTAGCTACAGTTGCACAAGAAACATGGGCAGCACCATCAAAGCCCACAACAGCCACCTTCTCCACACCAAACAACAAGTACCGACCAAACTATGCAACTGTCGGATTAAAGATTGCCCACTCCCGGGAAACTGCCTCACCTCCTCAATTATTTATAAAGCTACAATCACAACAAACGGAGAATCGAAGCATTACATCGGGCTCACAGATACCGCATTTAAAACCCGATATACAAATCATAAGCACACATTCAATGCACCAAAACACAGAAACAGCACAGAACTTTCAAAGTTCATATGGAAACTAAAAGACAGCAAAACACAATACAATATCAAATGGTCCATCATTGATAGAGCCTCATCCCTGTCTCTTATACACATCTAGATGTGTATAAGAGACAGGGCTCATAGTTAGTCTTTTAAAACTTTTTCATTCCTATGTATAAGCAGTTATATTTTGAGAAAACAAAAAAATTACGATGTTCATACCAACTGTCTTTTGGACATCAGATTTGACCTCTGGCTGGGCATCAGAGAGTTCTCTCCCGGTATCTTTTAGGTCTTCGATATCTTTAGAGTGTTTGATGACATCATCATTGAATGCCTGAAACAAAATATTGATGCTGATAATAATTTAATGAAATAAATATATATTTCTAACAATTGCAATTTCTAACAATTAACAATATATAGCTTTGTGCTCATATTGTGCACATTAGCCCTCCGGGCCGCGCCGGCAGCCTGGACGATGGAACTAAACTGGTCCGAAATAAGGCCAATGCCCTCCCGAAGGAGGTCAATGGCATCCGGGACGAGAGTTGGGTTCGCGTCAGCATCAGACAAGAAGGACAAAGCAAACCCCGCCCCATTCACGGTGCGTATGCCCTCCCAAGCTGCGCGGTCCACAAAGGCCAAAGCCTCCTCAGCCGCGCTGAGCTTTGTTAGAAAAAGCTTTGTTAGAAAACAAAAGCTTTAGAAGTAGAAGAGAGCTTCTGATCCTCCCGCAGTCTGCCCTTGGCAGCGCGAGGAATAGGCGGCGCCTGAATGAACTGCTTGAACTGGTCGTCGGGGACCGGAAAACCAGCCGTAAGGCACCGCGGCGTGGCAACCGGCTTGGATTTCGCTTGCAAATTCAGGCGAAGGAGGAGGTCCGTGTTGAGTCCCACAACCAGGACAGGGTGGGCGACACGCGCAGGAGCCAACGGCCCCCACAGGCCCGCCCCCAAACCACCCCGGCACGGAGTCTCAAAAGAAACCCCCAAATGGTCAAGGATGGGCGGCATCGCCCGGGCCACGAGCTGAGAGAGATCGGAGCCGAGGACAATGTCCTCAGATTCCGACTCAAGATGCTCGGATGAGTCGTCCATAGGCGACTTGCCGGCCACACGGAACCCATCCCCAGGGACAGGAAGGGCAGGAGGGACCGGAGGATCCGGCTCCGCCGAAGTGGCCTGCATTCCGGCGAAAACCTCCCGAGCCACCCGGCCCACCTGCTCCAAAATCAACGAAACCAGCGCCGGGTCCAGCGGAGGGGAAGGACCCGCCAAACTCGAAGCCGACGAACCCTCGAGCGGAGGAGAGTCATCCGGCGCCGCTACAACCCCCGACGCAGCCGGCAGCGAACTCTGAGATCGAGTGCCAGCCTGAGCTGCCCAATCCAGAGCCGCCGCAACCTTAGTCGGGGGCCAGCGCACAAATCTCGCAAGGCTCAGCCTTGCTGCACGAGCGACACAACAGGCACTCCGAATGCCGGTCGAGCTTAACACTCGGTTTGGGGCCCCCACACGCCGAGCATAAAGACTTGCGAGCGGACATGGAAACTGATCGAGACTACAATAAAAAGGATATCTTGTCAACCACTAGTTGAAAATAAATCCAAGGCAAAAATAAATCCAAGGAGAACAGAATTGCTTGAAAAGTCCTGCTAGTTTTCAAAGGCTAGATGATCCGACTTCGAACAACGTCGAAAAGGGAATGAGGACGTTTGTTAGGGAGACGGTTCGCACATGGCGCCTTGGGTCGGACTGTTCCATTTTTTTTCTAAGGGGTGTTCCCTTTTGGGAACAATGGCAATTAGTCGGTAATCCAGGTAAGTATTCACGAAATAGACATATATTTCTAACAACTGCAATTTCTAACAATTAACAATATATAGCTTTGTGCTCATATTACTAGTTTAAAAAACATGCAAATGCTTCCGACCTTGAATTTCTCAGTCTGCTCTTGAACGGTTTGAGTCTCTGCTGCTATAGGCTCTTGCATAAGCTTAGACATTGCTTTCTCTGTTGCATCCAACCACCTCATAGCAGATTCAAGTGATTTATTGTAATATTGATGTTTTGTGATCAAGAAATCCAGTCTCTTGGAAGCATTACCACACTTTTGTTCCACCTGAGTGAAGTCGTTGTCCAGTTGGACAAGACGATCTTGAATACCAGTAGCATCTGGTGCCTCGCTGAACATTCGGTTGAATTGACTTGGAAGGGCAGTATTACGGAAATCGTACAACATTTGTTTGTAGACCTAAAAAAGTATAAATTAATAGCTTAGGTACATTTATTCAAATTTTTTATTATTTCAAATGCTTCATAACTTTTATTCATCTTATTTTTTAAAATTATTATATTCTATTTATTCACTTTTGGATGTGAACCATAAAAAGTTTATTTGAAAGATTATGTAGAGGAAAGCAAATTAAATCTTTACCTTTGAGTCTTCAATAAAACGTTGTCCGGTATCTTGCACTATGGCCAGATGGGATTTGCGTACATTCATGTCAGAGGCGATCCCCTGTAGCTGTGTCTGCTGTCGTTTTAAAACACTAATGTCACGACCAGCATCACTAACCAACCCGTCGATATCATGTGACGTCTTTCCAAGCCAGTGTTCAAACTTGGCTAAGTCATGATCAAAGTTGCGGAGGTAATCTAAGGCAGATGTCAAATGCTGAACTCGTTCATCAGCTTGGTTCTGGAGCACATCAAAGCGACTGTACAACTGTTTTTGGAGATCGTGCAGAGCACCATGGTTCTCACGTGTTATCTTCTGACCACTAGTGTTCATAAACTTCTGTATGTTATCAACCGAGGATTTGATTGGTTTTTCATGAGCATTAATGTCATCTTTCAAAGCCTGAGATAAATGAGAAGTTAGAAAATCTATGAATAATGAATAATTTGTATTGTCCACAGTGCACTTTTTAGTTGCTACACATAAATAATATATGAAGTTTTAAAATTTTGTAATTTCTAGCACACACTTACCAAAAGATACAAGGCACAGCTAAGTTATTATCACTCCTAGTTATCCATACCTTCCTAGAGAGCATACAGTACCTAGTCTTCCTGCACTGTACACACTAATATTCAACACCACAGAATTCTGCCGGTTACTCATTTATAGTCATGTGTGCTGTTTCAACCGCCCTCAAATACATTTCAACCCCAAAATATGGTGTCCCCTAAATAGTGGTTGACTGTAAGCATTAAGATATACTTTCCCTCAATTTGCTGTCAAAAAAGTTTCTCCTTAATAGGGGTGCCCCAAGGGAGGGGTTCTACTGTATATAAAATGCTCCCACACATTGTACTAGTACATGAAAAAAATAATAATGTAGAATAAAATAATAAATGTTTATTATACACTAAAAATTAATGTGTAAAAAACAATGAATATACATATAATTAAATACATCAGTTTACCTTCATCTTGTTTAGCTGTTCATTGAGGGGCTGGACCTGTTCACTTTGTGGTTGATGGGAGCCCATAGCATGCTCAGTATCTGACAGCCACTTGAGAAGAAGATGTCCAGCAGCATAAACCTCTTGGAAGTTATTATCAACTAAGCTCTACAAGATCAATACATAAAGATATATAAGACTTGCCATTCCAAAAACAGCATCAGTGATAAAAAAAAATAAAATAAAAATTGACTTTTTAATAATTACAGTATTCTCCACATTTGACTCTATGCTGGTTTTTGAATGGCATGATTCATATGATCTCCTGAAATAAGACTAATCAAGTCATATACTCAATGATCCAAAAATAAATATGAAAATGTATGGGAGTAGTGTTTGTATACGTGTACTGTAATGTATAATAAATGATTCTGTACATTTACATAATTTATATAATTATTCTACTTTTTGTATAATATACATCTCTATATAATTTCTTATTCATTATACATACATAATACCATAATAAATGATTATCTTATCGTATATATGCCCACATTTATTATCACACTGACTGACTGACACATGGAAGAGGCAAAGCCTTTTTACCAATTCTTTCTTTTCAGCCATCAAATGCTGATGAGCGTCTTCAATTTTCTGCATCCTGTCATTTGCCAGGGAAACAACAGATCGGTAGCCATCTTGAAGCCCTTTGATCTTCTCCTTTATTTCTTTTTGCTGTTCAGGTTTCATGTGTTTATCTTGATTCAACTTAATAAATTTTTCAACCCTCAATGTAGTCTCAGAAATTGGCACTTCATGGTATGAAATATCCTCAGTGAAAGACTGAAAGGATAAAATAATCAAATTTAATTCATTAATTTACAGCATTAAGGTTATTAAGATGTGTCACAGTTCTGAAATATTATAGCAGTTTCAAAATCCTACCTTGAGTTTATCTTTTTGGAATGTAAGAGTTTGTAGATCACTGCTGATTGGTTCCAGAGTCTTAAGCTTCTGCTGTGTGATTGTCACCCAGTAGCTCTTGTCACTAACAACCTGACATATGGTACGATACTCTCGATCATACTCTGCCTAAGAAGAATCAAGCCAACAAACTAATTAACTATTCATGAATAAGACAGCTCGGGTTCGAGGATAACTATACTGTATACAAATTTTCAAGCAGACTACATGTTTGATAAATGCAAAAGTCGAGCTATGAAAATTAAAGAACTCGTATCAGTGAACAACTTTGTCATTCAAGGATGGGATGTAGTAAAATATACAGACAGATGTATTGTAATAAATAGGTGGTATTGATAGTTGTTGTTTTATATTTAAAAAAGTGCTACCTGTGTTTAATTTAATGTGTCTCTATGTATATAAATTATTAAAGTGGTATTATGATGCTTAGTTGAGCTACATTTTAGTTTTCTTCTTGTGCATTCATGAGTGAAAAAATGTTTATTGTGTGCAACCAACTAACAACCAAACAAATTCCAATTTACTCAAACAATCTCTAAAGAGATTGAACAGTGATACCAAGAAATATTTATTTAAAAAAATTAACCATACTATCTTTCGCAAGAAAATACTTTATGATGGCATATTGATGTCTGCCATCCCTTTGAAGAATGTCTGCCATCTTCTGGAATGTCTACCATCATCTAGAGCAAGTTTTAAATCTTACACTTGGAACCTTATTAGAACAGTATGACTGTCACCATTTATGTATTCAATTTCATTTACTGTATTGCTACATATGCTATCATGAAACAATATCCAGACAACATAAATACATAACAAAAATACAAATAGCAAAATGTAAATACTGTACTGTATACTATACTAACACCAACCTACCAAAGGGTGCAATCAAGAAAAAAATAAACAAATGTGTCTGTAATTGTCATACTTAAATTTCTGTGTGTTGAAACATATCTACTTCACATTATAGAGCCTATAATTTTATACTTAAATAAAACAAATACATTTTTTGAATTTTTTTAGTTAAGAAATAACAACTAATTTAGTTGCTGCAATCATACCAAAAAAATTTATAGGCCTATTTTAACAATTTTTAATATTTTTGACACTTGATAACAGAACACAATACAGTACATGTAAAGCAGTTAGTGACCAATGAGTTAACCTTGGGTACGAAGGATCAAATCAATGCCAATTCAATAGTAAATATTTCCGAGGAAATTCATGAAAACTTATTGATATAAATGTATTAATAAACTACCTGTATACATGGAATATTTATTAGAATATGTATTGTATATTAGTAAATTATATCGTGACAGGTAGTAAACCGATTTTTCATCATGTCTATTGATTTTTTAAAATCTATCTGCACCTGATTGTTCCACACTGGAAACTATAATTTGTATCTCTCATGCAATCAGCTGAAGATATATTATAACAGCTTTCATTGATATCAACTGCACTGAATTCTATATACACAAAAATACTATCAATTTTATATCAAAAAATATTCCTTCCTATTAAGGCCATCACATTTTTTGTTTATAAATTGTGCCAACTACAACTGAATCTGATTCTGTTGTTGGTTTTCTGAAAATTGCTCATGGAGGGAATAGAAGATTATTAAAAGATGTAGCTGAAAGTTCTGAAAATATGCTGCAATTATATCCTGGCATTCCATCATCAAAGTTCTTGTGGATGAAGATTATAAACAGACACTTGACTAGACTTCCTAAAAATATTCCATTTCCAGTTAAAGATTTATCACTCACCATTTTCCATTGAGAGCTAAAATACCCAAAATCTTCTCTCTGACCTGGTTTGTCAATTGAGGCACTGTCATTAACATCTGTTGTAACAGGCTCATTACCAACTTTACTTGATGATAAGACAGGAGTCTGGAATGCAGGTGTTTGGTAAACAGATTCGTTTTTTACAGCAGTCACCCTCTCATCAATAAGAAATTCACCAATGTTTCTTTCAGGCTTGTGTAACTTCTGCTGACTAGTAAATTCAGAATCTGGTTTAAGTTGTGTTGATGGAAGTTTATTTTCTACAAACGATTCCTCATCCACTGCTTCTTTCTCAATGATCTTTAGATCAAAATCAATCTTGACAGATATCTTTTCCGCCATAATATCTTCTTCTGATATGAATAACTGTTCTTCAGTTCCAACAGATAATTCTGAATTAAGATCATCATCTGAAACACATATAGGGAAATCTTGGAAGAACTTTCCAATGTTCTCTTTCATCAATTTTCCATTTTTTAATGATAAACTGGTATCACTACCATTTGTAGCTTGTGTGATGACAGGCTCATGAATTTGATCATCTGTCAGAGCAGCCATGTGAAACACATCTTCTCGTTTTTTAACAGCTTGGACAGGCTCTTGAACCATTTTGGAGTCTTCTAATGGATAGATTTGTGCATTAGGATGTTCTTGCAATGTATTTGTATTATCTTCTGTAACAGCATTTGCATTCAGTTGTGTGTCATATCCACTAAGATCATCACAATGAAATTCTAATTCTGGCTTGTTTATATTATCATTAACAATGTCAGACTCATTCCAATTAAAATGTTCAGGAAATCTCAAATCAGTTTTACTAGAGTGGATCATCTGACTAATAGTTTCTTCTTTGACCTGAGGGGAGGTGCTGTCAGGAGATGGTACATCATTATCATCATCATCAATTCTTGGAACAGAAGGAAAATCTGTAAAATGTTGCCCAGCTAATTTGGCAATTCTTGGTTTTGTATCTTTTGTCACAAAAAAGGTCTCTTCACCCAATTGTGAGAAACATTGTCTATCAATTGGCAAATGATATGCAATGCCCTGACTTGATTTTTGCAAAATCAATGGCTCCTCAATTAAACCAAGGTTTAATTGCATATGCTGGGCCTTCTCACTATTTAAGATGGCATCTTCATCATCACATACATGATTATCTGTAGTTTCTTGTTCAACATCATTCTTGAAAACAGACAAGTCAATAATCAGATCATGAGGTGATACTTCTGTCTGACTACAAGTATCTTCAACAATATCATCAGAAAAAGGAAACTTCAGTTCAAACGAAATTGGGGACACAGCACTGTTCTGAATTTTTTCTTCAGACACAAAATCAGTTTCTGAAATGGAAAAATGATCTCCTTTTTCCAATGACATCAGTTTTGGGATGAGATCAAAGTGTTGATGAGCAAGTTCTTGTACAGATTTCTTCGGCATTGGATGTACATTATCAACACTTGTCACCAAGATTGTTTGCATAGCCATATCTTCTGCCACTTCACTCTCAATATCTGGCATCTTAAAATCAAGAGGTGACTTTACATATGAAACTAACTTCTCTTCATATATTTTTGGAGACTTCTGATACTGCTCTTCAATTTTAGAAGATCTAATTTTGTTATCAGCTAGACTAGTTGATTCACCAATCATTCCTTGAGTTTGATCCTTGAAAGCATTGCTAGAGACTGTTGGAGGAGGTTCCAACGAAAATGGAACATTGTGAATTTGACTGTCATCATCAATTCTTTCTGCAACAATCTCTTGATCATCTCTTTGAGTCAACTCCCCTATAGTATTGATTGATGGCCTTTCAGATGAACCAGGGGTCTCAGGAAACTCGCAGTAGAGGGGTCCACTAACAACTTCTTTTGTCATAATTGCAGAACTTTCTATAACCATTTTGTATTTTCCTTTTTTCTTCTTAGATGATGAAACCTCATTAGAGTTAGATACACATGACAGATTTATAGCAAATGATGGTTTTGTTGGAGATACGACTCCACTCTCTGGTGACAGAGATTCTCTATCAGACATTTTATGTTCAAGACTTGCCACCATATCCCTTTCGATGTTCCCTTCAGTTTTAAAATCCTGCAAAGGCAGAACTGTTGAGCTCTTTGTCATACAGGTTCTTGTGAAAATGTGTTGCTGTCTATTTTCAGGAAATCCAGGTGCTGTGTTATTAGAAATCCCAGAAACACTAATGGCAACTGATGTTCTGCCAAATGTACTAGAATTGTCTACAGACATGTTTGCTGTCCTCTCTTGCATTTCAGTTGAAATTGGCTGCTGCATTGATTTGTTATCCTCTGATATCACTTGTATTTCTTGGTCAACCTTTTTAGGTTTATTGCTTCCATTAACCTCATCATTTCGTTCATTATTGTTATCAATATTGTCTATCACAATATAATCACCAAATGAATCATCTAGATCAAGCTTGTCTTGTGACAAATGACTGTCTTGTACCAATTCAACACCAGCTTTTATTTGTTCTGCACCTCTGTAAATACTTTCTCCTGAGTTGTCAAATTCACTCTCTGACTCTTTAATGGCATTTTCATCTTCTGTTATCTTCACAGTCTCATCCAGCTCATGCTTTTTAGATGCATCCCCTTTGGCAGGATCATGTTTTGATATTGTCCAGTAACTTGTTAAAGAAGATATAATTGATCCTTCCTTCTTTTTTAACTTTCTAGTTGTTACTTTTGTGTCATCTCTCATCTTTATGTTCGGTTGTTTATTTTTCTTTCCTTTTGTGTTTGATGATGGTTCTTTCTTCATTAGTTTTGGGACTTGTTTTGACTTTCCTTCTACATTTTCTTTCTTTTCTTTCTTATCATTTCTAGGTTCCTGTTTACCAGATAACTTCCTTGCCAGTGTTTTCCTCAATGAATGTTCACTAGTACCAGATGGTTTGCTTCTGCTTATAACTGGCTTTGCATGTTTTGCTGTATTTTCCTTTTCTTTGCCAGTAGACTGTTTAGATTTGCTTTGGGGGTTTTCAGACTCTAAATTCTTGATAGAATCGGATGCTTTATGTTCTTTCTTAGAAATTTTTAACAGATCATGTTTGGAGGACTTAATGGTATGAGACTTTGGAGTTGTTTTTTCACCATCTTTTCCATTGGGTGTTATAGCTGGATTGGCTGATCTACAAACAGTAGACTCAGCCTGAGAAGTACTTTTGACAGTGATATCCACCTCCTTAATTACTTTTGGTATATTTAATTTCTTTTTTGATGTTGATACAGTGTTGATTTTAGACGGATCTCTTTTGTGAACTACATCAATAGTTGATGGACT